GATAAAGAATGGAAAGAGGTAGTTGCACATTCAGAATAAAGAAGTGGGAATCCTAGCAATGATCTTCTAGACCCACAGCTTCATTAACTTTACAACAAAGGAGATACACTGTGGATCAAACCATACAGTTATTTTTCAAGGTAGGAGATTGGCAGGAAGTGACAAACCTGTGGGTTAAGAGCAAAACAACAACAACAACAACTTATTAACAACAACAACTTATTATTTATACCCCGCCCATCTGGCTGGGTTTCCCCAGCCACTCTGGGTGGCTTCCAACAAAAGATTAAAAATACATTAAAACATCAGTCATTAAAAACTTCCCTGAACAACAAACAATTCAGCCAATTATGAAACCATACTGTGCTTTACTGCATACCCAGGGTAGGTGGGCATGAAGAAAATTTGGAATGAGCCACTGAGAAGAAAGAGGCCAAACCACAACTAATGGCATATGATTGCTCAAAGCCAGGCATAGGCAAACTGGGCCCTCCTGATGTTTTGGAACTACAAATCCCATCATCTCAAGCTAACAGGACCAGTGGTCAGGGATGATGGGAGTTATAGTCCCAAAACATCTGGAGGGCCTAGTTTGCCTATGCCTGCTCCAAGCAGATGCATGTGTACAAGTGCCCTTTTTGCTCTTTTAGAGCCAAACACAATACCACCCCACTGCACTTACTACAGGGAGTGGGAAAATATCAACATAAATATCTTCTGGTGAAAACAGAAACAAAACCCTTGCAAATATAACAAAAGTAGACAGAATTTGTTCATATGTTCAAATGCTTCACAAAGGCCCTTTGATGCTATTTCTTCTTCCATCTTGATCCACAGAAAAACTTATTTTGTTCAACACACACAAGAGCATTAGCAGCAGTCAAAGGAGCCTGCAGTGGCTGTGTATTCTGCACAACTTTCTGTGTAGCTAGCTGCTCAATTATATTATTATAAGCTACCCACACTGCAATTATTTCACTAACACGGAGATGCTAAAAAGCTATTAAGTTCTAGAGGGATGTTTGTTGGTATTGATAGATCTATCTGAAAGCAAAGTATTTTTCTGCAAACAAAAAAACAAAACAATAAAACCAGGCAGTGCAGTCAAGCGCCCTGACACTTAGCATTTTAAAAAGATGTGAGTGCCATTGATTTCAGTGAGCTGATTTTCAAGTAAACTTGCTTAGAACTGGCACATTAAAAATTGCTGGCCAAATCAAGAGACGAAATCAAGATTCTTATTAAATCAGTACTTGTCCAGGTTATGTTCATAAGATATGGTGATTTATTGCCATTCATTTTCATTGCAGCAATTCAGAACTGTGGGCGAGGGAAGTATGTCTGATAACATTTCATCAGTGAATCAATTATTGCACAAAGAGTGAGAGCACAGAAAAACATTCACATCAAAACTAAGAAAGAATATGCTAAACTAATCTTCAGTGTTTCCTTCTAATCACAGAAATGAATATGTCATGCACATCACAAACCTAACTTATTTGGTTTCGTATTTACTTAGTGAAACCTTTTTTTCTCTAAAAAATAATAATATTTATCACCTCATGTCTGATCCTAAATTGGTTGCGTAACGTGCTGAAAAACAAGGCTTATTATATTTCAGATTAATTTAAGACATGACTCTTTAGCCCTGATTCATGGCAAAGCTATCACTGCCATTTTGGACTCTAGCTAAGGCTCTTTCCTTTTGAAAATATAAGCAGAAGTAGAACCATTGACCATTGTGTTTTTAAAAATTAGACTTCCTTGCAAATTCTGAAAAGCAGTCCATCTCCCTGTCCCCCAGTTACCTGTTTCAGCGCAACAGGCAAGCTCAAACCATGAATAGTTTAAAACAGCATGCGGATGCTTCTGATTTTTCCTTGCAGTCCCACAGGAGAAGAGGTAAAGGAAAACATGTAAGAAAAGCCCTGCTGGATCATATCAAAGGCTTATCTGATCCAACATCCTGTTTTCCATAACGCCCAACCAGATGCCCAAGAAAGCCCAAAAGTGGAACACAAAGGTAGCAGTCCTCTTCCTCTATTGTTCCCCAGAAACTGGTATTCAGTGGCATGCTAGCTCAGATCATGGAGGTAGCATACAGTGATCATTACGAGTAGTTATTGATAGCCATGAACTTGTCTAATCTCCTTTTTAAGACTGGTGGTAGCAAATTCCAATGCCCTAGAGCAGAAGTCTAGGTTCTGCACTTTCACATAGCACTAAACTATGGCTTAATGTTTCAACTGGAATGGACCACTGTTACACAAAGTCAGAAGGTTTGATCTAACCTTGCGGATAGCAGGTAAGAGCAATAGTCAAGTTACTGATATCAGAATCCTGCCCAGGACGTAACATCTGCAGGTGTTATAAACCAGCAGCCTTTCAAAACACATTCTGTATAAATAAGCTTCAGAAACTCATTTGGCATCATCAATAAATTACCTCTTTTTCATATAAATTACAGGAAGCTTTGCATACAAATAGTGGAAATAAATAGGGAAATTGAACCACAGAATAAAGATACCCTGTGGCTGATTGCTGGTCCTGAATATTTATCATCAGCTGGAAATCTGGCCTTTCCAAAAATTTGCACACATTAACATTTTAGAAAAGTGATTACCCCAATTATAAGTATTACTATTGATGCTTATCGGTATACTTGCTTGTTTGGGACTGCTCATTAAAAGGAGATGAATATCAACATTAAGGGACTATTTGGTGCCTTCATCTACATACTCTAATAAGCCCTAGTCTCACAGAAAATGGTTATTGCCCTTCTACAAGGTAATAGAATGTTTGCATAGGCAAACGTAAAGATGTTTGGCGAATCTAATCTCTGTCAAGCTATTTATCAGACTAATAATTAATATCTATATTCATGCTTAAAATTTAAGAGTCACCTTTGTAACGCTTACCTCTAGGTAATATGAATGACTCACTGATGTGCATAGCTACGCACGGAGGACACCACTATTTTTGCATCAGTAGTTTTAAAAAGTTTGAAAAGGACATGAGTGCCACTATGTAAATGAGAGTGTGCAAAATGTTCCCCAGTGATCAAATCTCAGTTAACAACTTCCTGGTATCCTAGCAGGAATTCCATGGCTTCATTTCCAAATCCTCGTCCAAATGATATAGAACTGGAGGGCTGTGTCACACTTTACTTTTATTTAGGCTACAATCCTAATCCAATTTACCTGGAGGTATGCCCCACTTAATTCAGTAGGGCTTACCTCTGAGTAGACATGATTAGGATGGTACTGTAATTTACCAAGCGAAAACATAGTGCTAACCTTTTTGGCATAAAATACAATATATTCCTGATCCAAGCACATAATGCAGCAGAAAACGATGTCATTCTCCATGCTTATGTGAAGAAAGAGAACCAGCAAGAATAATTAGCATCCCAACTGTGCCTTCAAGTATTTAGTGATCCCTGTTCATGTTGTAACATTTATACTTATTTTTTATTCTTTTAAATATATTGTAAGCTGTCTTGCACAATACTATGTGCCCTCCTGCTGATTGGGGGGGGGGACCCCTGACTTTAGCAATCTGGCATGGGGGCTAAATGTATACCAAGAAAGCAAAAAAAAATTAGGATGAAAGTTATTAAGCATACTGTCTGCAAGTTAAAATAAAAATAATAATGATCACACCTTTATTGATAAGTAATGGGCTACTTTTAAAATGAGGCTGCATTTTAAATTGCATTTTAACCTGTATTTTATGTTGTTTTTTGTTTTTTGTTTTTTCCTATTATGTTTTTACTGTAATTTTATTGGTGTTAGCTGCCCTGAGCCCAGCTCTGGCTGGGGAAGATGGGGTATAAATAAATAATAATAATAATTATTATTATTCCCTTTTCTGGTTAAACAAACTCGGCTCTCCAGATGTTTTGGGACTACCATTCCCATCATCCCTGACCACTGGTCCCGTTAGCTAGGGATGATGGGAGTTGTAGTCCCAAAACATCGGGAGGGCCGAGTTTGGGGATGCCAGTTCTATATAAGCCATTGGGGTTAACAATACCCCGCAATGGAAACTACAATGGCATGTGAAGTCTAACTGACCCTGCTGTTATTTTTCAACATAAACATCACTATCAACATGCATAATTATAAAACAGCAAATCTCAAAGACTTTGCAACAACTGTACACCCTGCCAGAGCAGCCTGTGTGCTGTACACAACATTCCATGACTGAAAGGCTAGGACAGACAAAACCATTACACGAAGCATGCAGTTGCTACGATACTCTGTCATTATATCAACTACAGAGATCACACACACACATGAGCACATATTGACAAATGTATAGAATAAAAGCATAAAACAACCTTTTATCCACGCCATAAAACTGGACATTACTAACATAAAAAAATATCAGGGGAAAGGCAACACAGTGAAGACAGTTCTGGATTTATGTAGGGAGAAAAATGCTGTTATGAGTTTAGAGGGTGGGCTCTATGCCTGAGTCCCATTCTAATTCCTAGATCCACGCTAGCTTCCTGGTGAGGTAATGGCCCTCCAAGTATGGGCCTTGAAGGTAACAAAGGAAGAGGCTGTGTGCCAGACAGCCAATGGATGCCTCCCTTCCCTCAACTGCCTGGCAGTTAGAAAGACAAAGACCAGAGCTGAGTTGTGGGAGAAGGCTGAAGGCCGGGCAGCTGGGAGACAGAGCTATGCCTGATTTCTGCTGCAATCCAAGGCTGTGGCTATGGAAGAAGGAAGACCCCGGGGGGGGGGTTAATGCTGTGAGCCCTCCATCAAATGTGTGTGTGTGTGTGTGTGTGTGTAAACCATATCTCATAAAGACACCATAGTCTCCACTGACCCTCATTCCAAAGGAAACCGAACTCTGGATAAACACCTGGAACCCCTGGAATTTTGCACCGCTTTGGGTGGCGTGCAACAGTGTGATGATATGAATGATACCTAGCAAACACAAACAAGAGGCACAATGCCAATCAAAATAATAATAAAATTAAAACTTACTTTTGTACTCGAGGTGAAAACCAGCAGCTGCCACGCTAATATCAGAGTGGAAGTGCAAGTAAAGTTGATTGGAGGTGCTGTTCAACAATGCTGGCACTGTAGTACCTGCCAGAAATATGGGACAGGTTATGAACACTGTCATTTATCACAAGATCTATGCAATACAGGAACTTTTAAAGAAGCAGAACATATAAAGAAGAATAAAACATATAGGGTGAGGTTCAACGTCACATTATTATACTGTAAATCGGGTCCTCCTCACAAAGGGCATGTGCTGCGGTGAGATCATCAGAACTGACCTCACTGTTGTGTGGGTGGGAGCAATTGGATAGCCACAACAACCCGATTGGTGGTCCCTTGGTTGTTGGGCTAATCTGGCCAATGGGTATGTTGTGTAATAACCGAGGGATCTTTATATATTGCTGCATGTTGCGTTGAGCTTCCTCTTTTCGCTTCGTGGACTGGATCACCCGCCCACCCTTCCCTATATTTAGAGTCTTGCTGTGACCTTGCTATGCCTTCGTGGGTCGTCTGCTTTTGGGGCAGGGGCCCAGTAGGAATTTTCCCATTTGGCTGATGCCACTTGGGTTTTGCTTGCCACGTAGCAAATCGTCACAATTTTGTAAGCTTTGGCGGTTAGGCATGGTGGTGTGGAGGGGAGGTCAGAGAACCAATGTGCAACAGGTATTCCGTTAAAGAAATCCAGGGACTCCCCATGCTTTTGTTGACCCCTTTCGGGGAATAGGACCTCGCAAGAGTCCCTGGGAGCATTTTGGGGTGAGCTTGAGTCATGTGCCTGTACCAATGCTCCCCCATGGTATTTACCAGCACTGATGGTATGGTGGGGCCCAGTCGTCAGTACTGCGTCCTGCTGAAGTCAGGAGCAGCCTAGTCGAACCAATGCCTAAACAAACCACTCACTATCTGTAATCAATAAAGTTGTGGCCAAAATTATGCCAATAACCTAAAACTATATTCCGTGTCATGTGTACAATTATTTATTTGGGTAGCTCCTGGGGATTTTCACACACAAATGTTCCATCTGTGCAAGCATATAAGCTCGCAAGATGTGATAATGGCTGGAGAATTGACCTGCAACTTTCAGGCAAGTGTGAACTTTGAAGGAAAACTGCATTTCAACTGGCATATTGTTTTTCGGGAGTGAGAAGAAGAAGAAGAAGAAGAGGAGGAGGAGGAGGAGGAGGAGGAGGAGGAGGAGGAGGAGGAGGAGTTTGGATTTGATATCCTGCTTTATCACTACCCGAAGGATTCTCAAAGCGGCTGACATTCTCCTTTCCCTTCCTCCCCCACAAAAAACACTCTGTGAGGTGAGTGGGGCTGAGAGACTTCAAAGAAGTGTGACTAGCCCAAGGTCACCCAGAAGCTGCATGTGGAGGAGCGGAGACACGAACCTGGTTCACCAGATTACAAGTGTACCACTCCTAACCACTACACCACACCGTGAATTAGGAGGTCCACATAAAAATACGAACCTATCCAAATTTCTTCACCATCCCTATGGTTTGGCCATTATAAGACCACAATGTACACCTCTACATACCTGAAAAACTTCCAAGCCTTGGTGCTGTCAAGTCACCACCGTCATAGATTTCAAGAGAGTCCCAGTTATGCTCAGTGGCAAAGCTTATGACCTGGATCTGTGAAAGAATCACCACCGGGTGTTCATTAAACAGTATAGTTACATATCTTTTCAGAAGTTCTGACATCAAAGACAAAAAAATAAAAAGCAGCAAGGAGATTGACAGCAAAACGTAGCTGCATAAGCTAAACACACATTTTGACCTCACAATATTGTGCACTTTTGTAACTACAAAATGACATCAAAGAGCAGCAACTGATCATGGAATAACAAGGCATTCATTGCTGAAGTGTCACGTTTCCAAAAAATGACAGACCAATCTTCAGTGGGGTCTAGAAGGAATGGGAGTGGCAAATCTACTGCTGAGACCTAAGACCTGGTGGCTTGTGCTGGCGAATGGTGAAAATAGTTCTTTATTGCATTTGCTATGCCAGTTCCAGGCAAGCATAGCTGAAGGGCCTGGGGCATCGTCCAGGCTTTGGATATGATGTTACCAAAGCTTTCACCTCACCCTCGAAGTGCTCCATTTCAGTGCTTCCTGCTTACTCTTGCCAGCAGGAGAACCACTAGTGATAGTTTCCCACCCATCTAGGTAGGGTTTCCTCCTTTCATTGGCAATGCTCTTCTCTGCTTGCAGAGGCCAGCAGAGAGGCACAGAAGTGCCATCCTATGTGCCCAGTCATCAACGTGGTGTTAAGATATGGATGCAATGCAGCAGCGAGCAGCAGGTGGCTTGAAAGCAAAACATAATGGGAATGTTGGAACTGTTCCGTGGGAACAGAGGGAGAGTCTGTTTTCAGTGCAAAGCACCGGAAATAGCTCAGTGTGACCTGTACAGGAAGTACAGGAGGAGGAGTTTTGTCTCTCTTGTGATGGACTCTGATGAGAGCGGACGTGTTTCTCTGTAATGCTGCAAAGACAGAAATAAAGGCATGTAAATACATTTCTGTCTCTCTCTTTCCCCCTGCCTGGGAGGGGGGGGGGGGAGAGCAGTGTGTTCTTCTCACGTTTGAGGAGGATCGCTGATCGCGACCTTGCCTGCATCTGCCGGGAATGCAGACAGGGAGGTCACCAGGAGATCGTGCCGGGAGCCTGGAGAGTGGCCAGTTTCTCCTGGGAAGAGGAGATATCGCAGATCTTCTAACACGTGGAAGGGTTAGGATAGTGCTCTCTATCAGAGCAGAGCTGCATTGCAGCAGATGCACAGGATTACGTGTACCAGACTTCAGATGGTGGATAAAATATATGGATGTTACCCAATTTAGAAGCCCTGCACCTATAAATCTAGATGTTAAAATATGAGCTAGTCTAGAAGCCTCATCCCTTTTCTGCTACTTTTGTAAGCATGAGGATATTTTCAATTTGAAGGAATATTCAAACAGAGAACCTTCCACAGTGCAGAAAAAGGCACATTACAAAACTGAATAGCTTGGATTCAAGTGAGCGGCAGATGACAGATGATTACAAAGGAAGAAAGGCATTTAAAGAAAGAAAATGAGGAAGACTAAAAAAAATGGCAAGATATACGGAAGCAGCAGTACAGGTAGGTATTATCAATATCCCAAGGAAGTCATGTTTGCAAGGCAGAATTATACACAACCACTCCACTCCAGACCCCTGCCAGTGCAGATACAGAATTCTTTGGGGGTAGTTCATTCATTGCAATGGAAGTGAAAAGGCTGCACATACAAAGGAATGTGCTAATAGATGTAGAATTTTCCCAATTGATCAAGGCAGCCTGTGGGGGCAGCGAAATTTGTATTTAGAAAAGGGGTTATTTTGGTTAAAGGGAGAAAACCTAATGAAAATAAAGACTGTGATTTTGATGTCTTTGTTTTGTTTTGTTTTTGCAGGACAAGAGGTTGGATTTAGTTGTGGAAGAACCTGTTGCAGAACTCAAATCAGTCACAAACTTCACCGCCGGTTTTTACACTAAGTAGCAGTTGTCATAACACTGAAATGTCTGCAAAGACATGATGAATGCTTGCAATCAATGGATCTATAAATACTAGGGGTGTACATGGGCCTCAAGATTTGCCTTGCATCATTATCTGAACATTTTTTAAAAAATCTTATCTGTATCTGAGATGTTCCCCAAAAAACATTTTGTGGGGAGATGTCCCTAAAAAGCTCATCAGCTTCGCTCCCCCCAAAAAAGAAAAAAAGGAGATTTTCATTTTGGGAAATATGGCAACACTACTTTTGGAGTAGATTAACTGCAGACAAATGAGTCCAGGCATAAGTAGAATGGATTCACTTTTCTCTATAATTTTCTATGTGTGAAAGGGGTGGGGGTTTGTCTCTTGCTGTTTCTGATTTTAAACCAATTAAGAGCTGGCTGAGTGGTATTTATTCTTGTTTGTACATTTTTAAAACCTTTCCAGAGTTTGTTTGTATCCTCTGAGATAGACTTTATGCTTCCAATATAAGTTTTACAGGTCTCCAAGAGGCTTTACAATATGAGGCTGTCCAGAACATTGCCAGTGAAGTTCTGAACAGCTCTGGGGTTTTTATGACTTCGAGGGTTTAAAAAATAAAAAATAAAATCCTGTACTGCTGGGTTTTAACAACAACAAAAACCCAGTCCAGAGCTCTTTGGTGCTCTGCTGACAACATGTGGGACAACCTCACTTCTTGCAAAGCCAACTTCCCTAGAGAAACAGAGATATACAAAAACCTGGAGTTATTCTGAATAGAAAAATGAATTAAAAACAGAACATGCTTAATTTTGATTTTAATTCAATTTTCTCTTTCTTTCTTTCTTTCTTTCTTTCTTTCTTTCTTTCTTTCTTTCATGTTGTTCAAGTCCCACTGTATTCTGCTCTGGTCAGACCTCACCTGGAGTACTGTGTCCAGTTCTGGGCACCACAGTTCAAGAAGAACACTGACAAACTGGAACGTGTCCAGAGGAGGGCAACCAAAATGGTCAAAGGCCTGGAAACGATGCCTTATGAGGAACGGCTAAGGGAGCTGGGCATGTTTAGCCTGGAGAAGAGGAGGTTAAGGGGTGATATGATAGCCATGTTCAAATATATAAAAGGATGTCATATAGAGGAGGGAGAAAGGTTGTTTTCTGCTGCTCCAGAGAAGCGGACACGGAGCAATGGATCCAAACTACAAGAAAGAAGATTCCACCTAAACATTAGGAAGAACTTCCTGACAGTAAGAGCTGTTCGACAGTGGAATTTGCTGCCAAGGAGTGTGGTGGAGTCTCCTTCTTTGGAGGTCTTTAAGCAGAGGCTTGACAACCATATGTCAGGAGTGCTCTGATGGTGTTTCCTGCTTGGCAGGGGGTTGGACTCAATGGCCCTTGTGGTCTATTCCAACTCTATGATTCTATGATTCTAAGTGTATGCCCAGTCTTAAATAAGTAATAATAAAAAAACAGAACAATACAAGACTTTTGGGAGGCCCTGATCTGACTTGAGGGTGAGGGGATATTGGCACTTCCACCATCTGCCTCATTTTTTGGCCTCCACACATAGCTGATATCCACTTCTAATCAGTACCCCACAGCTGGATTTTATTTCCATCGTATTTATGGTGTTAAATTAACCGAATGCACTTGGATGCCCTCGTTAGTTGTTTCTCTAGCTGTCAGCAGATGGTGATATTGCTTTATTTAACTATGTATAAAATAATGCTTTGATAAAAGGAACAAAGAATCATGGAATCACAGAAGTGTAAAGTTGGAAGGGACCCCGATGGTCATCTAGCCCAATGCCCTGCAACATCGATCCTGATTCTGAAACTGGTTCTTTTAAGCATAATAAGTGGGGTAGACAGGAGTGATTTTAGCTTCGTTGCACCATGTGGGGTGAAATGAGAGGGTGTGTTACTTGACCAGGCCAGACTTACCATTAGACAAAGTGAAAAAGATGCTGCACTCAGGCAGCGGGTGCTGAGGTGAGGCAGCAGTGGCATTCCTCTTAAGCTTCCTACCTATTCCCTTCTACTGGAGATCAGAGACTTGCATGCTACACAGCCTATCATGCGCTCTTTGAAGCAGCCAGCCATCCCCAGGCACAGTGGAGGATGTTATTCCATTGCCAGTGTTGAAAGAAGATTCAACTGCCAATCTAGTCAGCCTCTGCTCATGGAATTAACTGGTGGCATCTTGCCCTTTGCCATGGATAGCAAAATTTCTTGGACTGGCTCTGAGCCTAAGATACACTGAAACGCTGGGAACATGGAGATCTATATACCGTATTTTTTGCACCATAACACTCACTTTTTTTCCTCCTAAAAAGTAAGGGGAAATGTCTGTGTGTGTTATGGAGGGAATGCCTACAGGTGGCATGCCTACGGATTTTCCTCCTCTAAAAACTATGTGCGTGTTATGGTCGGGTGCGTGTTATAGAGCGAAAAATACGGTACTTGCCCAGACTTAAGAGATCTACATCATAGGCTTATTGGTTTTATGCTGCCTCGTGATGCTTTCATGATGCTGTTTGTGCTGCTACACTTGTGTGATTTGTTTTCATTTATATTTTTGTATTAATTGTTTTTAACCGTATTTTACTGTTTTACACCATCCTGGAAAAATAGTTGATTACATGCCATAAATAAATAAATAAATACATGTAAGCAAGCTGATGTTTTTCTTTAGATTTGGCTGGGGTTTGGGAAGAGGAGTGATCAATCAACAATCAATTCATTTCTACTATTATGAAGTAGTTCATATTCCACTGTGGGCAAAATATGGACTTGCCTGAATACCTGATCCCTCAGTCACTATGATTTTCCACACACAATTCAAGCTGTTACCATAAGGTTCGGGATAGCCTGGAGACAATATAGTACCCCTCCGTTCAGTGAAATTTCGACTGCATGGCACTGGAAATTGAATTAGAGATAACGACAAAGGTAAAGTCATGCTCAGGAAACAGCAAAGTAACACTAACAATAGAAATAAGACCTCGTTTCAACCAAAGTAAGACACACTTTCACCTTCAAAGGAAGTATCTATAAATATATGTATGCATAGAAATATGAACATTCAATTAAATTTTCTCTAATAGTGACCATGGCTGCCAAACCATGGAAATGATATTTTAAATTCAGGTGACTTTATGCCAGAATTTCTTCCTTTTTCTTATTCCAGTCCAATTTCCCCACAAAATTCATTGTGAGACTGGAGTAGGAAAAAGCGCCACAGAGGAAGGGGAAGGTTGTAGAGAATGGGGCAGGAAAACAGCCACAGAGTCTTCAGAGTAAGAGAGATAGACAGACAAAAAGAAAGAGAGAAAAATAAAACAAAACCCTTCTTTGAAGCTGGCAGAGAAATAGGGTCTGTGCCACAGAAGAGAGGTAGGTTTGAAGCTACCCTGCAGCTACCTGCCCCAGATCAGCCAAGACAGGACGGACTGTGGTTGCTTGCCAGGCCTGCCCATGCAACATTAATATATTAATTTTAATTATATTTATATTGGATATGAAGCAGAGAGAGGATGAATGCTTCTTAACATCCAGATTAAAGAGAATTTCAATAAAAATAAAGATGAAACTCTGTCATGTTGGAATTAGTTATGTCCAAGGTGGAAAACAGAACTTTCTTCTGCCCCATGACAATATACTAGAAGCTGAATGTACTCAGGTAAAATTATATTAGCTATTATGATTCAAATCACTATGATCTTATTTTATTCTCTCTAAAGTCACACTGTCCCTGTCAGTATTATTAATAATTGTAATGCACAAGTCTTGAGAGTAAAAAAAAAAGGGGGGGGACTTAATACATGCAAAAGAATTCAAAACAGTAAACACAATTCCATTAGCGAGTTTCACTGACAAAACACAGTGTTAAGTGCATTGTTTGGATGAATTTATTTTGGATCTTGTTATTCTAAAATATGACATTGTAACAGCAGACTTCTAATTGTATCAGTTATAAATCTGCTATAAAGGATGTTTCATGGGGGGGAAAATCAATTAATTAACAGAAGGGTGATTTCTAGACATTGACATTATGCTCCATATTATACTTATGATTTTAGAGGCAGCCACACTGATAATAAATATTCAGCAAAACATGCATCAACCTTGTTAATCTAATAGGTTATTATGTGAAACACTATACTGCCTACCAACCAGCTGGTACTCAATTACTTTTGAAATGACAAATTGCTCTTTTAAATTGGACACGACCAGTATTAATAAATGGAGAGAGAATTTAAGTGTTAAATACTACTTGATGAAACAAGTAGTGTTCTTGAATTCTGATTTAGAAACGGATGACCTAAATATAATAATGCCTTACCCACACAGCTTGGCACTGTGTCGTTCCACTGAGCTAAAGCATTGGGCACAGACTGGCAGCGGATGGCTTTGGAGCCTTGCAGAAGATAGCCAGGACTACATTCAAAGCGAACCACGGAACCGGCTGAGAATTCAGAGCCAATCCTTCTACCGTATCTCGGCTCTGGAACGGAGCTGCATTGTGTATCACTGGTTCGTGGAACAGCTGCACGGACAGGAGGAAAGAAGTGTAGTCTGAGAAACATCACCTAGAAACTGCAGAGAATTTAGTTTGCACTAACAGAGGCTTCCTTAAAGAAACTGAAAGATGATTTGTTGGCTAAAAGCATCATTATACCGATCAGGTTGAATTCCTTCAGTCACTTTTGTTCCACAACAGTCACACCAAAATTCAGTCAAGCCACTCTTTAATTTTGACAACTAAACTTTAAATAGATGAGTACGACAGACCAAGTCCACAAGAAACACGCCTTTTGGGTGGAATGTAGTGTGACTGATTTGATTTAGACTACTTTGGCGAAGAAATATTCTTCATTTCAGCTAAAAGCAGCTGGGGGGGGGGGAATAAACCGCTGGATAAGCAAATCGGTATTGAACTTCAGCTTTTATATGGCTGCATTCTATGTACAACACCATTTGCTGCTAAGTGACAAAGTATGGGTTTTTGGACTCCACACACTTCACAACTGGGCTCAGTCTACACGACTGCATTGATGGCATGCTTATGCTTCCACCACAGGCCCTGGCAATATGGATGACCTTTATTGCCTAGAGTGGCTACATCCCAGCTCCTCACTACTCGGTAGCAAAATACAATATACAAGTAACAGTCTCCCATTCAGTTGCTTTTTAGCAGTAGAAGCCCTGTAGAAGTCCCACACAAGTCCAAACTGGATGTACTGACGCGCAACGTAAATTAATAATGCAGTGTCTTCTTCAGTAAAAGAATAAAAGCTTTACTGAGTTAAAATAAACTTGTTTGCAAATAAGAGCATAATGAACAGAAGATTAAACTAGCTTCAGAGCATACAGAGTTTCCATTGAGAACAGGCATCACAGATCACAGACTCCACCTCACACAGACACACTACAGATATTGAGTCACAGACACTGAGTGAGACACCTAGTCTGCCTGCAAGCAGATACACAATGAGTCATCCTCAAGATAAGTCACAGTGACTCAGCATGCTAAATGATTCCGCAGCTTTTCAGCATTTCACAACATTTCTAGACTCCTTTACTGCTTCCTTTACTGCTTCTGCTCTCAAATACCTTTGTCACATGACATGTATCCCTTATTTTTCTTAATATCTGTCCATCAACATAGCAAATGGAGGCGATACTAAAGCTCATTCTCTTGGTCAAGTGTTGCCTATGCCCATTACGGCAGAGGATAGCATGTGGAATATCTAGGAAGTACTAGCAATGCCACAAAGCTCCAATCCTTGTGTTTCCATGTATATTTTAAGGAAGAAGCAATGATTATCATACTGCTTCTTAAAGAAGCACTGTAAAACATGTGACCCTCCAAATGGTGTTAGATTTCAAACCCCATGAACCCTAGCCATCATACAATGAAGTGAATTGTAGTCCAGCAACTACTGTTCACAGATTTGCCTGATTTAAATGGGGAGCCCATTGGGACACCTACAAAACTTCTTTGAATGATGACAGATACTTTTTTAAAAATACAAATACTAATACAAAGCAGTTTTCATTGTTTTATTGCTTGTTGTTTGCTGCCCTGGGCTCCTTTGGGGGGGGGCAGAATATAAATTTAATAAATACAGTGGTGCCTTGGTTTGCAACCACTTTGGATTAAAACTGTTTTAGATTACAACCACGTCAAACCCGGAAGTGCGTGTCCCTTTTTTTTTATTACAACACATTTATTTTTGGATTACAACACATTTTTTGGGGGGGAGGCCCCATTGGCGAAAGCATGCCTTGGGTTGCAACCTGCTTTGGTTTACAACCAGACGGATCTGGAACGGATTATGGTTGTAAACCAAGGTATCACTGTACAACAAATGAACAAGCAAACAAACTGCATTTGTGCAAAGGCCCTGAAATGGTAGAATGTGAGTTCATTCTTGCTAGAGTAAACCATATAGGCTTTGCAAGGGCTAATGTCTTGGGGCAGCACTGGATGTTTCAGAGAGCTATAGGAAATAAGCCAGCATGGCATAATTATGGAAATGAGAGCAAATGACTCCCTTTAAAACCCAATTGTACTGAAAATGTGAGGGTAGTTAACATTATAAAATGTCAACACTGTTTTTTGAGGATTTTTTTGTAGAGGTTCCGCTCATTCATGTAACAGCTAATCATCCTGCTTTTTGTGAAGTATGAAATATAAAGAAATGTGAGTCATCACAAAAAGGAAGGCAGTTTATTGGAGACAAAAAGAAATATATAGAGAAAATGGCATTAGTTTGTGGGGAGGGGGGCCATTATATCAAAATCCAAAGCTTGAAATCTAATATTTCACTAGCTGTGAACAGAATATACAATCAGGCTAGCTATGGGCACCTCTCCCTCCTAATCCTCAGTCTAATTCTAAACCATAATGTTGACAAGTTAGTCGTCTTAGATGGTATCAGAGAGAAATTGCATTTTCTGTAGTAATTATTATTCATCTTTTAGTGCTATGAAACAAAGTAGAAATCAGCCTAGTGGAAAAGCAAACATGTAATAGGGTCAATCTGGAATACTGGGTGATAAATAAAATGATTGACTTTGCAGGCCAGATTAGAGTGTTCATTCAGGAATGGGGATGCTGCTCTCAGAGGTATCTTAACATTAGCAGGCAGGCAGTCCTGGGAAATCTGTTCCTATATTTCACAAGAAGATTGAAAATCCCCAAATTCTGGTAGCATATTTATTAAATCTAATTAAATGCCACAAGCCGCATGGCCCTGGCTAAAGCTTTAGCAGCTAGGGATCCTAATGCATTCATCTTCCAAAAATGGAAACTTGACTAGCTGCAAGGTTCTCCAGAGATAAATAAAGCAGGCTTACTTACTTGATTCATTCCGAGATGCTGAGAATAGCATTTCCTATTCTCAAATGCCACTAGACAGAGTAATCCTATATCCTAATGCCAGTGATGAATAAACATAAACACTACCCCTCCCTCCCCAAACTAGCAAACAATACAACACTGCTGAACAATTTGTTACATGATAATGAAATGCTACCCACCCCCAATCTTTGAATCTGGAGCTATATTTTTATAAGTAGCAGAAGACAAAAAAACACATAGGGCCACATGCAATGATTTCCCCTCCTACAGTGACCCCTTTCAATAGCACAGCTCTAATGGGGTGCCTTCATTTATACAGAAAAACATTGGATGCTGTCTGATGTATTTGAAATTATGATTGCTGCAATCCCATACACCTTATTTGGGGGCAGGTCTTCTAGGATGGAATTCAGTTACTCCTTCTGAATTTGTGATCCAGTGATTGACTTCACTAATGGAAGAGGAAGGAAGGAGATTTTGGCCAATCCCTCCCAGTTCCTGTAGCCTCCAATGCTCATGAAAATTGGCTTCGAGAGTTCAAGCTAAGAGGAATCACACAACAGCAGCTGAGGTGATATTAACAGTGGAAACTCCACCCCACACCCATTTGTTTGACAGGTAGAAGGTGGGGATCGTCACCAGAATGTAACAATGAGGGTGGCAGCTAGCAGGTGGCGAAGTTAGCCTTGCAGGGCTGGACAGAGGGATGTCTATGTCCTCCACCACCACTGCCCAAAGAGGTTTTGGGTTGTTCTGTAAATCACTGGCATATGAATGCTGAACATGAGGAGTTCAGCACATGGGTTAAGACATCAGGTTGCATGGTACTGTGTACCCTATAGGTGCCTAATCTAATCTCTGAACACAATCATGACAATAAATAACACACCTTGTGAATGAAAAGAAAATAGCTAAGATTGCAAAACACGCCATGAATCAATTACAAAGGCACTTAAAAATATACTGCATTTCCCATGACTATTTGAGACAAATATATATATATATTTGGTGCTACTGAGACCATACATATGACCCCATGTGGAGGTGCTGTAGAGGGGCTGAGGAGGAATGGAAAGAATTCAGAGACACGTAGCTTGGGAACCCAGTAGAGGGATCCTGAGCAAGATGGGGAAAATGGAATGAAGACTCCAAATAGTGTCTGATGCTGCGAAGGGGTACAGATGGCCTGGAGGATGGATATCTGGATACTAGGGAGAGGTGAAGCAGGTTGTCAAAAGAATGCCCCGTCCCTAGAACACTGGACACGCATAACCTCCTGCTTCCAGAGCCTGCTCCTGCCAGTGAGGAGCCTTCCCTTCTGGAGAGTAAGTGATGCTGAGACAACCTTGACTGCATCTCCATGGACACATAGACACCAGCACAGACAAACCTCCCAGGGCCAGCCCACTTGAAGCAATCCCCCTTTGCTTGCCTAGTCTCAGGCAAGCTATTATCACACCAATAGCTGTACCCGCCCTGCTCTTCTAAAGAAGGTGTGGTTGGGTGTTACTTGTTTGACTGGACTTAGCCATGCATTCTGCCGCCTACGTACCTGCTGAACCTTGTAACCTGTATTTTACCTTGTGTACCAATCGGATTTAAGCATGAAAGCCTTGGGCAGCACTAGAGCTGGGAGTTTGAGTTCTTCCTCTGGCAGTGAGGGCCAAGGCAACGGAGTCCACAAAATACAAAAAGGTAAAAAAAGAAAAAAAGACCAATACCTTGATAGACAAAATGGAAGCCCCTGGCAGATGCTCCACTCTTGGCACTAAACCTCAAGAGAATCTGATTGGATGTGGCTAAGGGCAAAGTCTCTCCTACAAATTAAAATGAACAGAGAGAAATCATGAACAAAATAACTAGAGAACAGAAGCCTATGTTCTATACACACTGGCATGAAACATTTACATTTGAGATGGGTTGTTTTTATGTACTGTTTTATTGGTAGACGTAATACAATAAAATAACTCGCTTTTGCTGAAACTAAGTACCGTTTTTCATAAATAAACTGCAGCATGTTCAAAAACACCTTTTTAAAATTACATTTCTAAACAGCTTGAAGAAAACATCCACCTGCTTATTTGCACTGCTTCCTTCTTACTTACAATGACTTACTTGGGGCTTAGCCCTGAGTTTTGCAACAAAATGTTGGTGATGTGGAATGTTCCTATTCACTGTTCCAGTGAGTTGCATATGCCTTCCTCCTCAATATTCTACTCCCTCTCCTGCTTAGGTTTCTGTCCCCCTCCCACTGCCTCCAACAGGCAGCATTCCATACCTATTGAGTATACTTAGGAAAGGTTGTTTTTCCCCTAAGTATGTTTTTATACTGGAAAACCTTGGGGTTCCTCCATGCATGTTCATATATCTCTCATATGTGAATGCCTCTGTTCTTGGAATGTAAGTTCTGGCATTCACTTCTGAACTTCAGAAAAAGAGAGAACGAATACACACATCTAGGTAGCTACCTACTGGATTCCTGACTGAGTGGAATGAGATATGTAACTAATCCAAGAAGCATTGTCCTCACTCCTAACTTATTTTATTTGCTCTGATTACATCATAGTGAAATTCAATCTATATGGTTATCATGTCACTGACTTCGCAGCATAATCTCACATTGATCTACTAAAGTAAAAGAATAACTATAGACAGGAACGGCGGCAATGGCTAGGGGAAACAATGACTCTGAACACGAATAAAAAATGAGAATATTTTCACAAAGTGTTTTTTAGGAAATATTTTTTTACCTGAGTGAGATCCAGAAAGTGAACTCAGAAGTCTAGCCTGTGGATATTCTCCATCAAATAATTCCACTACATCGTTTAGAGCTGTTTGAAAATAGGCAAATTGTCCAAACACAACTGGAAAAAAATATAATAAAAGAAATGAAGTGCATATTAAATGTAAAACATGACGAATTAGCTAAAGTTTCTTGAGTTCTTTGGGGATAAAAGGAAGATTGTTTGCTGTGCTTCATCTATGTTGTTGTTTTTTTTCTAAAGCAACCTGTTGTTTGTACATTACTGATTCTCATTGTGAGTGCCAATAATTCAACAATCTTCCATGCACTGACATTTGGAAAGTATTGTCAGTAAGGGAATATTCTAAAAATCTTTTGGTGCACAGACATATCCTGACATAATGATTACATTGTGGAAAGCCTGGTTGTTGGGATAATGAAAATCTCCATAAAACTAGAATAAGATCTATGAATATGAAAATATAAATGCAAAGAAGATAAATTTTGTGTGGCATCCACTTATTCAGTTGGAAGCCAGCAGACTAATTCTGGGAAGGTACAAAAAGAGTTGCAGGAATTTGCCTGAAGACCAGCTCTGGTATCAGACTTGCCTGCACTGTGCCTGGAGTTGTGGTTTGACTTTAATTTGAAAGAAAGGGTGAGGTGGCAGAGGGCTTCATTTTAATATGCCCAAGGCTGGGGAGAGGTAATGACATGGAGTATATGTAAAAGAGTCTCCTAAGGCAAGGGTCAGACCTTCATTCCAGCCAGTGGATCCAAGCATACAAGGTCTCTGCAGATCTGATTGCTGCAATGACAACGCTTCTCCTGTCAGAAAAAATACATGTCTGGGGAGTACAGCATAGGCATTGCTGCCTTCTAGGCAACAAGACCAAATGCCTGGGTTGTGCTTTCTGGGAAAGACAAGTTGCCATTCAAGATTTTCACCATCTCTGAATGAGGGGGCAGGGGGAGAAATATAGCTGGTATGTCAAATGTATTACTTTCCTTCTGTTCACAGTAGTTGCACACCTATAGGGATGTATCCAAAATCTATTACACCTGGAATCTGAGCAGTGAAGCCAATCTGGCACTCCTGTGCTGTATTTGAACCACACCACATCCCCACTTTCTTTTCTTGGTAAACAGCCGTGATTTGACAGTAAGGTACCATCCCAAAACAGCCCATGCTAGGTCCATTCCTTGCATACTCCAGGCTGAATTAGTTCAAACAGGGCATTCACACCAGAACCTTGACAGAACAGAATGGACAGAACAGCAGGAATAACCTGCTTCGGCTCATTACTATACACCAAGCAGATGCAAAAGACCCACATGCCCAAAGACTGCTGTTTATGTAGTCTTTAGGATAGTACACTTATATTAATCAAAAGACCAAGTAGCCTTCGTGTGCGTCCAACAGCAAAAGCCATGGGCAAAATTGAACTCATTCTACTCTGTGTCATGGTTTTCCTTTGCTACAAACTAGGTTTCAAAATACAGTAGTACCTTGGAAGTTGAACGGAATCCATTCCAGAAGTCTGTTTGAGTTCCAAAATGTTCAAAAACCAAATCAGGGCTTCCGATTGGCTGCAGGAAACTCCTGCAGCCAAACAGAAGCTGCAGAAGCCCCGTTGGATGTTCGGGTTCCAAAGAACGTTCGCAAACTGGAACACTCATTTCCGGGTTTGCGGCGTTAGGGAGCCAAAATGTTTGACTCACAAGGCGTTTGGGATCCAAGGTGCGACTGTATTGGCATTGCTTTTTCTATTACTATAAATGTTCATACTGTTTCTTTGTAACATAATGATAAAAATATCCATTTCCTTTGAGAAATAATAAATACTAAAATCTTCATTTAGTAGAAATATTTACTTCTAACGGTTATCTCCTTATTAACTATTAAAATATTAGTCCAGCCATAGGTTTTCTCAGCAAATTTAATGAGATTTAAAAATATCATGTATGGGGAAATGTCAGGGAATTCAGCAGCAGCACTACTATGACGCAAAGAAATTACATGTCTATTTGACCACAAGGTGAGCGGGGGAAAGCACTTTGTAACTCATACTTTAATGTCGTAAATATGTCTCCTGTATAAAACTCAAATAGGCTTTTATTGTAATTGCCGTCTCAGGACACTAATAATTCTGAATGCTCAGTGATTTCTTATTTAAATGCTCCAATGCGCCAGTCTTTTATCCATCTCTCGTTTATACCCTCTAGAGCTGGCAGGAAAGAAAAACACAGTAACCAAGTGTAGTGTTATCTGTTGGGAACTATAATGTTGTAGACACATTATCTCATACTTTATTCCTGGCCTAAAGTCACCAAAAATCCACCCTCAGTCAAGGAGTAATGCAATGCTTCCCATGATGCACGGTGGAGTTAGCTGAGTGAGACAATGAATCACTGAAATGTGTTATCTGATCGAATTTAGTTAATTCCCTCATTGACAAAACTGCATTTACCTACTGTGAAATTGTATCTCCTCGGTATCAAGGGAAAAGAGAATTCCGTTTTGGTTTTGTTTTTTAAAAAATAAGCTTATTTTTAAATTGCAACAAAATCCATTACTTTTTTTGTTAGTTTGGCCATCCACCCCCTTCCACCCCCCCATACATATCTCTAAAGGGGGAATTTTATTTATGTCAAGCACATACACACACACACACTTCAGTTAAAATAAACATTTCTCATGGATATAGAGCTTGTAGGAACAATTTATTAGCTCAATCCAGTGGTGTCAAACTCAAATGAGTTGGATGGGAAATTCCCACCCAGCGTAGATATCTGAGGCAAAGCCAATAATTTTCCACTGAAAAATGTTAGTTCTACTTGAACTCAACACCAAACCATCAATTCCACCATAAATTGGGGAAGCTGAAATTCAGTTCTTACAGCTGTGGCAATATGTCTATCCTTAAGCATTTGTAGCTTGAACACAACAGCAAAGAGTGAATTAGTGGATTTCTAGCACAGAAAACAGAACGACGTGTATGAAGAATGGTAGGTTAGCTGTGGGTCACACTGGAACCCTCTAAAGTGACCTGATGAGGCCCACAAATCTTATGTTTGACACCACATGATGCAGAAGTCAAACTAGCTGAGTCTAAAAAAATCTGCCTAGATTAATGTCCCATCCAAACTTCTATTTGTCCCTCGATTTCAAGTAATGGGTCTGAGCGGGGTTTTTTGGGGGGGGGGCTCTGCTGCTTTCCCTGTGAAAACCCATTGTTTACTACTGGTTTGGAAGAAACATTGGTCTGCTGAAAACCTGATTTCTTTATTTTATTTTTAACAGTATTGTTTTACTGTTTTGGTGTTTGCTACCCTGGGCTCCTTTGGGAAGAAGGGTGGTTTAGAAATTTAACAAATAACAGCAACAGCAGCAGCAGCAGCAGCAACAACAAGATTTTTAAAAATCCAATTAACTAATGTATCCTTTCATTCTATAGCATGCTATGTTTAAAAAGGGTAAAGGGACCCCTGACCATTAGGTCCAGTTGTGGCTGACTCTGGGGTTGTGGCACTCATCTCGCTTTATTGGCCGAGGGAGCCGGGATACAGCTTCCGGGTCATGTGGCCAGCATGACTAAGCCGCTTATGGCGAACCAGAGCAGCACATGGAAATGCCGTTTACCTTCCCGCCGGAGTGGTACCTATTTATCTACTTGTACTTTGACATGCTTTGGAATTGCTAGGTTGGCAGGAGCAGGGACCAATCAACGGGAGCTCACCCCATCGCGGGGATTCAAACCGCCAACCTTCTGATCGGCAAGTCCTAGGCTCTGTGGTTTAACCCAGTTTATTTTAGAAATAGATGCCTTCAATCCCAATCTGGGCCAAATGTATGTCATAGGTTTCTATGGTGTTTCCACAAATTGTAATCCCAGTCGCAACACCAAGACCACTCCGGGTGCCACGTCTATAGCAAGTGTGTGCTGAATAAAGTCAATCGGACAACCACCTGGGATAAAATTGGCCACAACTTTATTGATTCCAGACATAGGTGGATTTCGGCTCAGACATTGGGTGCATATCTGCCTCAGCCTCCTGCTGGAGGGCTCAGACATTTCAGGGTTGTGCCGGGGATTATTGCCTCTACAAGATGCCTATCTAGTGTGAAGGCCACCCTCAGGCTGCTGCTGGAACCTCTATGGCCATAGGCTCCACCCTTGGGCTTCTGGACAGAGATTTCCAACAAGAGCATTTTAACGCGGTGCCCTGAATATGCTGCAGACCACGTAGAGGGGTCTTGGTGTGGTTGGCGGACCAGAGTGGGAACTTCTGACTCATAGTCCACCAGCGAGGCTTCACCCACTAGGGATCCAGTGATTGGGAGATTTGGCAGGCAATCCTGCCCTATGATGCAGCCAGCCGGGGGGTGGATGCTAACATACAGCTGACCTGAACAATCTGGCTGCCCAGGGATGGTGCAAGACCACGAGGGGCCACTAATGCCACCCACCCAGAATGGGGGAAATCAGCCATTATACAGACATCACCTCTAATTTGTTTTTTTAAAAAATAATATATATTAGAGTTTCAAATAATTACAAAAAAGAAAAAGAAAAAAAAAAGGAAAAAAAATTCATCCTTTACAATCCCAATTTCAATAACTTTTTTCCGCAACTTCCCCTCCCCTCCCCTTCTTGTATTCCATGTCCAAATATTTATCCAACAAGTTCTTATCCCTAAATTTTTAACCTTAATTTGTTATTATATTTATTATGTTATATTTTTAACCTTAATTTGTTATTATATTTAATTCAATTTATATAGACATCACCTCTAATTTGTATTTCATTTTGTGTGTGTTAATTTTTTTTTTGGGGGGGGGAGTACATGGATCAGGGTCCAAAAGCAATTCTTGGCATCCAAAGAGCTTGTGTACACCCAGTGCGATTTTTTTGACTTTTTTGTTTTTGGTCGCAGGCAAGTCCTCCCCAAATCCCATATTGTAAATGCATCCTGAAAGTTTACTCAAGGTTACTAGATGGTGGTAGTGGGTTACTGTTTGAATGAAAGGAGGCAATACTCCCTTTGGCAGGTAGAACTGGAAACTCAAATCTTTGGATTATGCCATATGTTTTAATAAAAGAAACCCTACTACGTTGTTGCTGTTGTCTCTGATACTGTGTATGAGCAAAAATGAATGAATTCTTATTCCCATATAAAAACTTATGTACTCAGTTATAGTTCATTATATGTTCTGATTATTGGTATCTTCTGTGGTTAACTCTGCTCTGTTGATTGCCCTGGAGACTGTAGAGCCTTAAAACTATTCTTGCAAAATAGAATAAAAATAATAATCTTGATAAATATTCAGGAGCTACATACAATGTTAGCTGTGTTCATTCATGAGAAACAAAATACTTTTGGTTTAGTTCAGCAACTTGTACACCGGGAACAAAATCAGAATGAAAGAATTAGTGAATGCTACACGTCAGAATAAAACTTACCAAATTCCTTAGGCACAGTAATTGAATATTGACAAGTCTGCCCAACGGTGTAGTTTTGAGGGTAATTTGGTGATAGAACTACTCCATCTGAGCCAATATACTGACCCCCACAGGGAGCTGGAAAAAAGAAAATGTGTAAACATTAAACCGAGGGAAAGTGCTATTGAACTGCAATCAGATTAGAACTCATCACATTTAATGTGCTGGCAATGCATGTTTGCTCAGAAGTTAAGTCCCACTGTGTTCAGTGAAGCTTACTCTCTGGAAGGTGTTTAGGATTTCAGCCAGTTGAAGTCCACAGTTATAGCCACATGTCAGTGGGTCTTCTTCATGGTGGCCAAACAGATGTCTGTGGGAAACCCACAAGCAAGGTTCAAGCATGAGAACACTCTTCCCTCCTGTGATTTCCAGCATTCCAGGCATTCAAAAGCATTACTGCCTCTGAATGTGGAAGCAAAGCACACCCATCATGGCTAGTAGCCTTCAGTAGCCTTATCCTGTTTGAACCACCTCCCTTTGGAGATTAGGAAGGCACTGATGCATGTGTGACATCAAGAAACACATACCTGTTCACTCAGGTGTTTTTAGCCACTAGTACAAGTTCTTTAGCATCTTCAGTTTGGTTTTTTAAAAGACAATGTTTTAGTTGCGTGTCTCCTTAGAATGTTTTATTATTCTGTTTCTTGTGTATGTGTGTGTTTCCTGTGAAGTGCTCTGGTATTCTCTGACTGAAAAATGGTTTCAAAATTATTTTTAAAAATAAATAAAAATTTGCTAAGAGGTAAGTTGTATGGAATGTACTCAATGCATTCTGCAAAGATAAAAGCACAAATCTGCATTTGAGAAAGAGAGGGAAAGAAAAGTCATACACTATAATTCTCATGGTAAAGGTACCCCTGACCGAATTCTCATGGTACTCTTCAACAACATCTCCAATGACAATATAAAGCTTATAACCAAACTTCTATCTAGGTCCTTTCCTATCCTGCTCTCTGCTCAATTAATATGATAGAAAGATATATAGGATAATTTAAATTGCAAAACAGAGAGATTAAAATCCATGACGGATCATGTGCTCTGTGGGTTTTGCTGACATCCATCCACATGATTATGTATGCTGGGATTTGTGACTATAAAAAACAACAACACTTTTTTTACATCGGGTAAAAAATTCTTGGAGTTCCAGTACTTCGACATATCTATCACCTGTTACCTACAAACACTGACCATTTCAGAACGGCCAAACAGAACAAAATTGTTTCTGCCGGGGATGAAGACTAAGGGATTGTGCTGAAGGTTTTGCAGTAGAGGGATTTTTCAGAGGGATTTGAAGTGAGAGAAGCAGCAAAGGGAAGAAGCAAGGGAGAAAGGACAAGCAAGGAGCCTTTAGGTGGCTTGGGAAACTGAGTAAGGGAGGAACATACAAGGCAACAAGAGCAGAAAACTTTAAATTAGAACATACAGTACAATTGAATAAGTTACTCCAAGTACTGAAGCCTCCAATGAAACCTGGGGCCATAGACTGGTGCAAAAATGCTTTATACTTTTCATTCAAACAGCGGCATATCACTAAGTCGAGTTAAGAGGGAAGAGTTCCTTTATAGTTCATCCAACTCTAAATATTAGTGAGGAAACTGACAGGGAGAGATCACTGACTGGGAAGGCTTAAGCTGTTTTCAGAATGCCTTAAAACATGTTTTCTTTTCTTAATATGGCGGTTGTGTCTAGTGCCCTGGACTCCTTAGGAGAGAATGTAAATTGAAATAATCATAATCATCTTGTGTAATACTAGCTAGAAGAAAGTAGCAGCGACAGGAGGAAAGGCAAGGAATCAGCTGATTGGTTTCACAATGGATGTATGCAATGAATGAGGTCCCATGAAGCTGTTTTGGGACTGGTGTTATTAAAGTTATTTATAATTGATTTAATAAATCAGGAATGAATACTGAAGAAGCCAACATGACAGAGGATACCAAGCAGACTGTGAACTTCTCGAAAAGTACATTTCAAAAGCATGGGTGTCTGGGCAACAGAATGGCAGATTAGATTCAATGTATATGTCTACTTTAAATGCAAAGTGATGCACTTGAAATAGATATATGCACGTTGATGGGGTCTAAATTGGCTGTCACTACTCAAGGAAGAGATCTCGAGGTCACAGTGGAAAGCTTATTGAAAACATCAGCTCACTTTGCTGTGACAGTGAAAAGGAAAATTTGATGTTAGGATTATTATGAAAGAAACAAAAAATTAGATGGCAAATATTGCAGTGCTATTATATAAATGTATGGTGGACTCAGGTTAAGAATATGGTCTGTAGTTATGGTCACTCCATCTCAAAAAAAGACACTGTATTGCTTTATTGTATTTCTGGGAAACCTATGGAACAGGGCAATCAAAATGATCAGCAGGTTAAAGAATCTTCTCTGCAGAGAAAACCTTAAAAGATCCAAGCTTTTTTTTACTTTAGAAAAAAAGAAGATGGCCATGGGAAACACAGTAGATATTACTCTTTCCCAGGATGCAGTCACCCAGTGAAGCTGATTGACAGTAGGTTCAGAGCAAACAAAGTAATGTGTTTCTTCATATAATTCCTAATTAATTTACAGAATAAATTACCCCACAATGTAGTGGTGATCACTAGTTTAGATGGCTTAAACAAAAAAAGGATTAGACAAATATGTAGAGTACATTTAAATAAAAATTTCTGTCAGTGGCTATTAACCTTTATATTAAAAATGGAACTCCATATTCAGTATGCTTCTGATTGCCCACTAAGGTGAAAAAATTACACAGCTCAGTTCTGTGCAAACTCCACAGATATCTCTGCCTGGTAAGTGCTGACAGCATGCAGCTCAAGGAGCATCTTGATGGTGGTCTGATGCAGAAATAATAGCATTTTAGTGAAGAACCCTGAAGGTGAGTTGTGTTTCCTCCTGCTGCTCCTTCTATTAATCCTCCTTCCCAACTGTGTGCTGGGTCCTGCACAGAACTTTGAAGTGAACTATGTTACAATCTTTTCTTCTTCTTTTTTTTGATGAGGACATTTTTGAGAAGGGAAAATGGATGGATGAATAGATTAAAATACCTGAAATCAACCAAGATGGTCCATTTACAGCCAAACTTGATGAGCCACTGGGAGATTTGTGACGGAATCTGCCATGATTACTGTTCAAATACAGGCACTTATATATATCTCTCTCTTGCCAAAACAAACAAACAAACAAACAAACAAACAAACAAACAAACCCAGCTTTGGGAGTAATTTAGATTAGGAAAATATGACACAGGGAGACTTAAGCTGGAACCTTAAAATTTTACCTGAAGTTAACACCTATTGAACTTTATGTGATGTAAACAAAATGTGGTGTAAACAAAAATAGGATTGCACTGTTAAATGACCACTTCTCCAGCTCTACTTCCCTGATCTGATTCAAACCATAGATCTGGCTTATGCAATGTAACGAACAGGCCCAAGGTTGTTCTGAATCACTGTTGCACGATCAACTTAATTGTACAAGTTAGTTCCATTCTGACGGCCCTGCAAAAATGATTTCCGAACTTGTCTGGAACATATATCCTTGAGCGAATTTAGCTTTGAAAGCAGAAAATGAAAGTATCCCTGGAGACTTGATATTACAGAAGCCTCTGTGTGCAGAGAAGCAAGTGACACACTACTCTCAGATTTTCTTCCCTCAAATAGCACTAAGAAAATAAATAGCGATTTAGACCGAAATCCTCAACACATCCCTTCCCTAGTTGCCAAGAAACATCCTTGAACGTAACTGCGTGCAAGTCTGCAGTCTGTGTGCAGCAAGATCGCTGTGGAACTGAGGTGCTAATTTGCCACTTCTCTGATGTACGCACATTTCACAGCTTCTCAACTGCAGCTTCGAAGAATGATATTCCCCATTCGAAAAACTCAGTGGTTTAAAGAAGACAGAAAGACACTTCTACGTACATGAGAAGCCTCCGCCCTCAACTTCTGCCAACTTCTCCTCCCCATGAGAGCTCAAGTGCCATATCTCATGCCAGAATGGTATGGTCCCTTGGCCCTCAAGAGTTACTTTGCAGGTGGAAAAGACTAGTTGCATGAACTGAGTTCCGGTTACTCTTCGTTGGATCCAATACTATCTATCTATATTAGAGCTGGGCAAAGGTATAAAACCAGCCTTTTTATTTAAAAAAAGAAAACAATTTCAGGGATAGGTGAGAGAAAATGTGGCCTGACATTTTTCAGGGGAAGGACAACTTTCTTGTGTGGTGCTACAGGGTGATAGTCTATGCATATAGCTGGAAATATGTATGCATTTTATAGCCCAATGGGATTGTGCTGCAATGTTTGCTTGAAACACAGAAATGGAGTTGTCAGCAATCAGATGAAAGATGTCCATTATTTGCCGAAGGCTGCATCTTTCTTGTAGCTGCCAAGACTTTTTTCCTAGCAAGTAACTACATTCTCTTTAGATTTTTAAACCTGCATTCATATCCTGCTTTGAGACATAAAAGCTTTCAAGTTAAAATATAGGGAATAGCAGTTATTCAAGAAAAAGAAATCCAGCATACTGCCTTCAAAATAATTCTAAATATAGTGCAATCCTGTAAGAGCCACTTCTTCAATGGGGCCTGCTTCCAAGATGAAGGTGTGCAAAATTCCAGCCTTAAGGTGCAATCAAAACTCCCCACTGCCTCCAGGGCTCCGCAGAGAGGTGGAGCCCCTGCCACATCTGAAACCACATCGTTTCATTGGCTTCAGAAAGGGGGCGGGATTATATACAGTTGCCCACGCCCTCCCTTGAAACGCGCCTGTCTGTTCAGCAACCAGTGGGAGGACAGCTCAGCCTGAAGAACTGAATAGAATGACATCTCCACTCAATCCAACCCTTGAGACTGGTGTAAGGGGTGTTGGAGGTAGTAGCTGGACTGCTCTGTCAATGTACTCTCTTGAGAAGTTATTAATGTTTCGGTAGGCTTCAGTATCTGGTTTTTAACCTTTTGTTATACACCCCATCAATCAAAAGCTTTAAACTAACTCCCGTCTCATGCAATGAAATCATGAGCTAAACCTGAGGAATTATTTTCTGTTTTAAAACTGTATTGATATTTACTACTTTAAAATGTACTGGCATATCATCAACAACAACAATCATCATCAGCAACAATACTGCATCTCCATTGGCAAATACCTCTGGGAGGAAAGCTAATAATTTGGAGAAGTTTTGGTAAGTCTTTAGATAAATAAGAAATAACAGAGCGAGAGAGAGAGAGAAAATCTTTCACAATTTATTGATTTAAGACATCTGTCTTTTCCCTCGGTGAAACCAGCATATTTTAAGTTATTTAAATATAAAAACACAACAATTAGTGCTTCACTTTCAATAAAACTCCATTAAGAACTCCATTCTGCCACAGAATGTCACTAAGGGCTCACCAACACTTCTGCTTGTTCCATGCCTAGAAAGCACAGGTCCAAGTAGTTTTTCGCTTCTTGTGTGTCAGAGTGGTTTTCCCTTTGCCCCACTGCATTCCCCTAGAAAACCCACACTTTAGCAATAAATCAGAACAAATTTGATGGATGTTTGCTCTGATTCAGCACTAAACGTGGGGGAAAGCAGCAGGTGGGCAAATGGAAGTACTGATGAGCCCTAAGGCAAGAACAGCGTATCAGTGGGAGGCTAGCAGGGCCATCCGCCTGGCTTTACTAAATTAGAATTAGGTTCAACAGGATCTTCTTCATCTGCTAACTGAAGGAAGATTTAGGAACATAACATAGAAAGCTGCCTGCTATCTCAGAGGACTATTTGCTCATCTAGTCCCATATTGATTACTCTGACTGTGAGAAGCCTTGTGGGATCTCAGGCAATAGTATTTCACTTTCACTCACTACCTGATTCTTTTAACTTGAGACACAAGGGATTGAACCTGGGATATTGCAGTGGGCACTCAACAGAGATGGGTTTGTGATAGGAATTTTGAGGTTTTAGATATATGGTAATGTTCATAAGTATACCAACCAAGTACGTACATAGATCAGCACAAGAAGACCGACCTGAAACCATTTTGATTCCCAAACTGACCAAATGTTTTCCCTGCAAGGAGGGAGGGAGCCTTCCCATTGTCTCAGAAATTGAGTAATCAACATTTTGATGGGTTACAGACTATCAGGAAAGGCAATCAGATAACCTGGCAAACAGGAAAAACAACATTCAAATTTCTGTTTTAGACCGCCTTTTCTGTGATGTAGGTATGATGTATCTGGGGTGGTGTTCTTGAGCTACACCCCTTCTGTGATGTATGTATGATGTTTCTGGGGGTGGTCTTGATCTTTATAAGGCCTTGTGCACCATTGTTCTGGCGTTCTGGCATTGTTCTGGGTTCCTCCTCCTCCTCCTTTCCTGCAGGTGAGAGGAGCACCCTGTTGCAACAGATCAATAAAGATCAAACTGCTTTGCTTCTCAATATTCTCTGGTTGGCCTCTGTTATTTTCTCCTACCAATAGGGAACCTACATAAGGACTCTATATGGGCTCTTGGATACCCCATAAGGGAAAAGGGCAATTTTTGTTTACAACAGGTTCCTCCCCCAAAACACACTCCAGCCTTTCCTTTCCTTATATCATCAGTAATGAGAACAGCAGTAAAAGTGAGCAGCTAGAGAAGATAGGTTTTCTCCCCTCCCCACCCCCTCCTTCCCCCATTGGCCCAACACTCTGGCTCATGTTGGCTAATAGCATGGCAGTGCACATGGAACTAGTTCTTCCAGCCTTCAATTGCAGAGAGAAAGCACCTTCCGGTTCAGTACATACCATTGCAAGATGGCAACACTCTGTTCCATGCAGGTTTTCCATCCGCACCAATCACACAAGTGATAGTGGAAGGATCGATAATTTTGTAGCCAGAATCACACTGGTAAGTAATACTCGATCCGAGTTTAAAGTCTGCTCCAATTCTAGTTCCATTCATTATGTTGCCAGGGTCGAAACAAGCTTCCCGTGGTTTTTCTAATTAAAAAGAGAAAGAGAGAGGAGGAGAATTAAGGCATTAGGGATGCCAGTCCACAAGCACTCGTGGGATAAAATGTAAGAATCAAGCTGAGCTTTCGTGATAATCACTCTTCATTTGAGTACTGTTATCACTTCCAAATATATTAGAGAAGCAAAAACATGAAAGGGGAGGACAGCAGCGTAGAGACCCCTATCTTTTCAGATAACAGTCGGTGGATGAATTAGAGCAGATCCACACCATACATTTAAAGCACATCCAGCACACGTTTGAAGCACATAACTTCCCGCAAAGAATCTTGGGAAGCGTAGTTTATTAAGGGGGCTGCGAATTGTAGCTCCCTGAGGATGAAACTACAGTCCCCAGGGTTCTTTGAGGGAAGTCATGTGCTTTATACATGTGCTCTATATGCCTGTTTCTCCAACATAAAAGGGCCTCATGCTCTCTCAGAATATCGGTAACAAAGAGTGGCAAACAGCTGCAAGCCTGTAACTGGCCATGGGTGAGAGTTAGGCTACAGGGGGTGGTGGGCATGTAAAAAGGTTAAAGAATATTGGGGAATGATTTATAATAAGCTGAAAAAAATGTTTAAAACAACCTTCCCAAAAAGACCAGGGGCCTTTTAGTTAGGAATAGTTCAGACAGAGATTCCCGGTGTCAGAAAATATATATATATGTATGCAACAATGGCGGCTCGAGTTTTCTTTTGTGGGGTCCCAGGCAAGGAGGACTGGCAACTTAAGATGACAGAATATGCAGAACTAGCATGTTTAACATATATAATAAGAGAGCAAAAAGAACAAGTATTCAAAGAGTGGATTTTTTTTGCTGAGTATATGGAAAATAATTGCACACAGCTGAAAACGCTGGCAGCATTAAGATAAATTCAACAGTGTAACTAATATTTGAGTGATGTAAAATTGGAAAACTGACCAAAATGGCTATAGTAAAATATGCAGGATTGATAGACAAGTAAAATGAACCACGGAGGGGAAGGAGGGAAGTCTTTGGAAACTGGTATTATGTATAATGTTTATTTTGAAATGGAAAATGGAAAACTTAATAAAAATTATTGAGAGAGAGAGAGAGAGAGAGAGAGAGAGAGAGAGAGAGTTAGGCTAAAGGGAACAACTTAGGATAGATGCCCATGATTGCTTCAGGGCAAAGGGGAAAGGAACTAAGCTCATCCATGTCTTTGGCCTTAAAGCTATCACAGAGGATGGAGTGCCTTGAACTCTGGAAAGGAATGTGGTTTGCACATCTGGGGAATGGAAGGGGTGTGTGTCCTCTGTTGTTTGTTGACCCTTACTGTAGCAGGTTGAACAATGAACAAATTTATTAACTGGAATAAATACAGGCCTGCAGCAGGCTTTCTGTTATTCCAAGAGAAGACAAGGGGAGTGGGAGTCTGTGTCTTGGGTCTAAGTATAAAATGCTTCCATATATAATCTGTTTAGTTAAGATATGCTTGGGGCTCTACTGGGGTAGTAAGAGTACTGGTCTAAGAGAAGGGAAACCATTGCGTCTCTGAATGTGTAAATATGTTTATGCTTGCAAGTGGAGAATCTGAAGTTTTGGGTAAAAAAAAGTCTAATGTTCTGTAAATACAGAACTAAGAATGATAATGTGTAACAGTAACATGTGAGAAGTTCAACTCTAGCTGAAGAAATCTGTTATTCTTTATGTTGCCAGAGCAATTAAAGGCATAATAAATAGAGACACCGTCCAAGAAAAATGGCCCCGTTTTTTTAACTATGCCAATGGCCAAAATCAAAACCAACAACTCAATAATATCAGTGGAGGGGTTACGCAAAGTAATATGTTTAAATGTTGAAAGTATGTGTATTTCTAGAGACAATGGATATAACAAACATCATTAGCTGTACTGCTGGATAAGTGTTTAATAGCTGTATTAAAACCAATACAAATTTTGTTTTTTAAAAATCAGTTCAGTTACAAGAAAGCTGTTATAGGACTTAGTAGTTCAGTGAGAGCTGCTGCTTTTTATACTGGACGGGACAATTAAAATATTTGATTGGCCGGGTTTTTTAAATTCTATTGGCAATCATTGGCTCATAATTATAAGTCAATGTGCTGGCAAACGTAGAGATAATTCAAACTCAGCAGTCGGAGAATCCTGACTGAAGTTCGATACAAGGGCAGCCATAGCATAGCTGAGGCTGTGTGTGGTCGTTGTGGTATGGTGACAACAAACAAACAAACAAAGAAAACAGTATGGCAAATAACAATCAGAACAGGATGCACATCGAAGAGTCAAGCCCTACTATAGGAGCACAGCCTTAGAAAGCAGGCTGTGTGTATTAAGCACTAAAACAACTGATAATTTGTGACCTATATAAATAATACAAGTATGTATTGGCTTTTGGTGCATAATTTATTCCACTTCAGCTAGTAATAGAGATGGGGGGGGGGATTATGAAGGGCACTGAAGCCCCACAGCTGGCATTTAAAAAGATTTAATTCCCTAAATTGTACCAGCATTTCAGGGCTGCTTATGTACTATGTTTAAAGAACATTTTACGGAACCAGGGCACTTTGAAGCATAACTTAAAGAATAGGAAATTTTTCTTACAAAATGCTCAGGGTTCCAGCTACTCCAGTCCATTTTCCCTCTGTTTTCTCTCTACTCCCTGCCAAATATTCAGTTGTGTATGTTATATGCATGGACCTCAGGGAGCATGGCTGCCCATTTAATGTAGGCAGGGGGAGGGTTGTCCCTTGTAGCCTTGCAGTGCAACATCCTTTTAACATCCTTTCTATGCAGATAGCAGGAGCATGTGAACCCCTTTGAACAAATGAGCATTGTTTTAGAATGTTTATATAACAATATTGATAAAGCAGTTCCGGTACACATGATTCAACTGGGCTTTTCCTCCTTCTCTTTAATTACATCTGTCCTGTACATTTTGATACTATTTCCACAAAGAAACTAGAGCTGCTCTAAGAGAAAAAGGCTTGGGAATTCTAAGCACATATGCAAACCCAAGCAAAGAAAAACAGCTAATGAGACAAGAGAAATCTGCATGTTCACAGTATCTTTTCAGAAACAACCCAAAAGGTATTATGCAAATGCCTATCTCCTGATTGGCCGGGAACGTCTGTCAGATAAAGCAGAAATATTCTCATTTTATATAGCTTCGAGAAATAAACAACATGTATGCAAATTGGTCTTCAAATAATCTGCACCCGGAATGTAAGAAACTGTTATGTATTAAACAGATGTACATCATTTTCTCGTATTTAAATTGTGCAAGTCATTTCTGTTTGAGAAGATCTTCCCTCAAGAGCAGCTCTTGTTCTTTTTTACTCGGCATAAAAGCCGTTTAGGCGTGCAAGAAACCAAGCAGACAAACAGAAAGTAAGTAAGTGCATTCATCAAATCATAAGACCTTTCCAGAACTGAGATTCTACTGTGCACACTCCCCCCAAGAAAGATTCAGAATCTAGCATAAGCGGTTGCTTCCAGTACTGCCAGTTTATGAATGGAAGGCTTCTTCCATTCCTAGAAAGGACTTGGGTCCAGCAGAGGCTCCTGCAAAAGGAAAAGGGGAGGCAGTTTTGACTGATCCCCCTGCAGTCTCCAGTGCTAACTCTTCTGCTGTTCTGAAGGGTCCCTGAACCCTCCAAAATAGCTGTAAGTGGACACTGGAGAAGAAAGAGAAAATGAGGAATCCCGTTTCCCTCAGAACAACGTTCAAATGGAACCCAGAGGGCACGTCTCGATCCAATGCTGTGACTTACTTATGTGGCATGGTACATTGGTCTCACTGCATCAATAAAACATATAACCACTACTTGGCTTAGGTGTGTTAGGTACAGCAGCATAATAAGAGTTAGGGTTCTGCACAATATGTGTTATTTATCCACAAGTAACTTCTCTGAACCCTGCTGTTAGTGTAAGGAGGAAGCATGAGCATACCTTACATATATACACATGCATAACATATATACAATGCTACCTCTACTTATGTTCCACCTCTGTGACGTTAACATGAGAGCGCTGGAGGTGAAATAGTTAAACAGGTGAAATAGTCAGAGGGAGTATAAAAGGGGGCGAAGGGGAGGGGCGAAGGGAGGAGTTTGTTGGGAGTTGAGTGGTTGGTTGGAGTGGGAGTGAATTGGGATAGAGTTTGTGGGTAGGTTGAGTTAGTACAGTGGTGCCCCGCAAGACGAACGCCTCGCAAGACGGAAAACCCGCTAGACGAAAGGGTTTTCCGTTTTGGAGGCGCTTCGCAAAACGAATTTCCCTATGGGGTTGCTTCGCAAGCCGAAAAAATCTTGCGAGTCCCCGCGGGTTTTTTCCGCTTCCCCCCCCCTTTTCCTAAGACGCTAAGCCGCTTATCAGCTGTTCCGCTGATAAGCCGCTTAACAGCTGATCGCGAAAAGCCGCTAGACCGCTGTAGCGCTAATCCGCTAAGCTGTCAACGGGCTTGCTTCGCAAGACGAAAAAAACCGCTAGATGAAGAGAATCGCGGAATGGATTCTTTTCGTCTTGCGAGGCACCACTGTATAGCGAAATAAGCTGAGTCAGGAATAGTTAGGGGCAAGGCAGACAAGTAAATATCTGAGAGGTGGTTTAGTGAGTGAGAGCAGGTAGCAGAAGTTATAGGTCTGGATAGGCACCCCATGATTGTAATTGACCGATACAGTTTATGAAACCACACACTTGTTAAACTGCAATAAATAAACAAATGTTTGTGTTCCAATTTAACCCTGACTAGACTCAGTATTGTACCAGGTAGGGCCTGGGTGGTGGCAGCAAGAAATAAAGTGGTGGCACAGGGATCAATAGACGGTGGAACGTCCGGGGACCCTGTGTGATCGCCACAACCTCCGGTTACGTATCCTTTGGGATACATACGCGGCAAACCCGGAAGTATTTTTCGGGGTTCACTGCACGCGCAGGCACAGAAGCGCTCTACACGCCGTGCGCATGTACAGAAGCGCTAAACCTGCAAATGCGCAGAAGCAGCATCTCCAGATATGCACACCTTGGGATCTGACCCGTGTGCAACTGGAGGTACCACTGTATATCCCATATATTCCCCTTGAAGAATACCTGAAAATTTAATGTAGCTTGGAGGCAAACAATGAAGTATCAGGATGCAGAAGACTGGCTGGGTTTTCCATTGGAAACAATGGCAATCAAAAATGAACTGTAACTACAGAAATGTATGAACCAGTTGCAAATTAGCAACTAAACAAATGAAGTAAATGATGTATGAATAAATAAATATATTTTAAAAAATTAACTGGACTAAAAAATGGCTTCCACATCTATATACAGCATGGCTCTAAAATGGCGTTCAAGTGTTTTGGGAGCAGGGAGTTGTCTAAAAAAGAGCTTTCCATCACAAATGGGTGACCTCATGGCTTTTTTTGTAGCCTATGTAAATGCCTTTCCTACAAGAGCTTACACGATAAAATCAGTTCAGCTGATATGATTATAATGATGTTGGTTCTTTTTGTGATCATAGCCACTTTGATGATATGCACCATACATGAGAGAGTAACGCCATCAATATTCTTCAGCTATACTTGATTACGAATCTGTATCTAATTTTCACAAACTTTGTCAGAAACTTATGCATGATCCCTCACAACATGTCAAGTGTAACTAGATGGGAAAAAATCTTGTGTTTACATTTTATGTGATGATACATATTTTGTTAAATTTACCTTTATATTCAATGGCAAATCCTGACATGCCGACGGAAGCATCACTACGAAATGCCAGAAATAGGTTATTACCACTGCTTTCTATTCTTTCAGGTGCCTGCGAGCCTTGAAAACTGCCAATTAGAGGGCTGTTGGAATCTTCTCCTTCATAAATATGCAAAAAATCATAACTGGGTTCCATGTTGAAACTGAAATAGAGAAGCAAGAAATAAAATGTCTCTGTTGTTGCTGCTGCTTAAAAAAAAGATAATGGCATCAACATTCCAACTCTACTTCTAAGATTTGTGGTGCAAAGGATTTCTCTCTTCCACATTCTAAAGTATGAACAAATAGTAAAGTCTAACTTATTATACTGCAATTTATTTCAGAATGCCACACTGTTATTTTGCTCAAGCTCCCCCAACCATTCCTTATTAATACTTATCAGAGAATGTTTTGGCCCTCAGTGTTTTCTGGATAGGGACAAGAAGACGGGCAACTAAAATCCTATATATGCCAACCCAAGCTGCATTTTCATGGGGAAGAATCTGGCATGGAGCCCTTTGCCTCTATATATTTTGCCTGTTCCTTAGATTCCAGTGGCTTAAGGGTGTTTCCTACGTGGTCACAAGTCTTCCCAGAACTCTTTGGGTTGATGTTTCATTTGAGGATGATAATGTCACCATCTACTTTAACAGTACCTTAACTGGAACTATTAACTGATCCCTAGAAAGCAGTTTTAACTAAAGTAATTGGAACTTCTTTTGTAACTCCTTCAAAGTTTAGAAGCTTAAATTACTTTTTTTTTTTTTTTTGCATTTATCACCATTCTGTGTCTCTCTGCCCTATCCACATACCTACCTACCTATTACTAAACAGGTCCAACAGCATTGTTTACTGGAGTTTAGGGAATCAAGACATTTACTTTACTCAAAAAATTGTGCAAATTAATCTGTTTGAGATGAACTTTAAAGGGAAATTAAGACGTTGATCCCAGCATATGCCTGGGAGTGCTCAAATCAGGTTTTTAAAATGCAAAACCCACATAGGTCTTCACGAATGCCAGGCTGAATTGCTAAAATATCTCAGCACTGAGCAAACAAAGTTATCTATTGGGCAGTAAAACTGCCACCTGAGTCTCACGATGCCCCGAAACAAAGTTATGGAACCCTGCAGCATTGTTACAAGGGTGGTATTTTGAAGGAAAATGGCAATAACTGGATTACTAAGAAGAGACTGTGACAACTTGTAGCTGTAGCACAATTACACCACTTTCTTCCATAAGTTGTAACATTACTATTATCATTCCCACCCCTGAGCACTGTAATGGTACCCGTTATTATGGCCTGCAAATGTTGTTGTGGAAGTAGAGGGGCATTTTTGGCTCAGTATCAGAATATTCTGAGTGCAGTAAGTCCCTTGAGAGAGAAAAAACTACAAACTAAGCATAGCCCTAACAACTAGGAATAGAAACAGGAGCCCAACACTTGTATGGTAATTGTGGTTCTACCCGTATTTTTCTTAATTGACTGATTTGGTATTTTGGGGAGAGTCTCCCCATAGAGCATAGTGCAGGGAGATGCCATAGGAAGACAAGATTCAGTAGAAATTATGAGCAGAATTATCTTCTATAGGAATGCTCCTGATCTCATATAACATTTGGGGTAATATAGTTGTAGCACCAAAAAGGAAATAAAAAGCAGAAAACCCAAACTGGTGGAAAGCCAATATTTATGGTAAAAAGCTGATAGAGTTTGGAAAACATAAAGCAGTCTTTGGCGAAGTAGAGATTAATTTCTCCTGCTTTTTTACCTGTATCAAAATATATTTTTAAATGTTGTCTCCCCACTGCCTGATTTGCACTTGGTGGGGGTTATACTTTTTCTGTTGCTTTGAGTAAACTAGTAGAGTAATATAAATACTCAACACCTTTAGCATGCGGTGATTACATCCCACATTCACTTTAATTAATTCTTATACCCTGTTAATGAAATTTTCAAAGAAAGGGGGAGGGAGAAGTGCCACAGAACAATCTATTCCCTTATGTGTATGGAGTGCTGGTTAGAAGAAAGAAATGTACCTTTCTGTAGCTCTTCAGGATCAAATATGACACACACACCCCTCCCAATTTAAGAAGGCTGCAGTCAGTCAAGAGTTCTCACACTGACTTCAAGAGGAGCTGGACTAAATAACAGATGTACTAATACTGCCCTGTATCAGCAGTAGCAAATCACATTTTGTATCCTTCCTAAGCTGGTGTGCTAGCAGCTCTATTGAAAAATTAAATCACTGCATTGGACGTCCTCACTGTTCTACGGCTTTCACAGTGCGGAAGCCCTGTGCAACACTTATTTCCACTTTCTCTGTCAATATATGGATAGTGACATTGTCCTGAAGAAGAAAGTATACAGAGATCCCCTAGAATACCTTGTGGCATATGTACCAACAGTTTGGGAAGCTCTGTTCTAAGCACACCTTTAAAAGGATTTACTTGGCAGATGACACTAAGCTCTAATACACAAGTTGTGTATTTAGCACTATTAAAGCAAACATATGAAAATTTTCACCCACCATACTATAAATCTAACTGTATAAATATACTGCTATAAAGTTACACTGTCTGTGACTAACCAGGAAGGAGACCTCAGGAGGCTCAGTGAAAATGTCAAGTCATTGTACAGTGGTACTAAAAAAGCAAATATCATGTTAGAGATTATTAGGAAAGGGACCGAACGTGGAGCGCAAATACTCATGATGTCTTTATAAATCTATTGTGCAAAGCATTCACAATATTGTGTATAGTTCTGCGTATGGCCCCATGTCAAAAAGAGAGAAAGGGGAAACCAAAATAATTAAGGGCACATTCTTTATCAGGAAACACAGCAGGGCTTTTTTGCATGGGGGAAAAAAAGCAATGATAAAATTTTATAAGATTAGGGGGGGAAATGTGGAGCTTAGGCAGAGAGAAAATGTTGCCCCTCTTTAGAACTTGGGCGATCCAACAACGTTGTCTGGTAGTAGCTTCGGGACGGACAAAATAAAGTAGTTCTTCACACAATGCATAATTAAATTATAGAACATACTGCCACATGATGCCATGATGGGCATTATCTTAGTGGATAGCTTAGTCTATCAGCAACTATTAAGGGGAACCTTTTCCCCTCTGAATACCAGCTACTAGGGGAAACAGCAGAGAAGGCAGGTGAGTTTAATAAAACCTAGTTTCCAGCCCTTACCTCCTCTCCCTCTCCATTTTAGTCAAACCATGGTCCCCTGTGGCCTTCTAAGGATAGTAGCTAAGAGAGCCATCACAAAAAAGTAAAGCAGCAAGGCCCCCTCCAGCACCCCTGTAATTTTAGCATTGGGACTCATAGAATCAAAGAGTTAGAAGGGACCCTAAGGGTCATCTAGACTCAGGAGCTTTGATGCCCTTCTGGCAGGCATTTGCTCACTGTTGGAAGCAAAACTAGATGCCCCCCACAGAGCTTCTCTTAAGTTCTTATTTGCTTCTACATCTTCCTGTAGCACCGACACAGAATGTTCTAAATGAAGGCTGTAAGGCATTGCTTGGGGGGGGAAGTAATTAGAAATGCTATGAAGTGATAAATGATGTGATTTTTTGAATGTGACATTTAAATAAATACATGCTGTAAAAAATTAAAAAAAGCATGGCTCTAGAAATGGTACCTTTTGAATATCAAGGCAATGACAAAATCAGGGTTTACTTTTATTCTCCAGTCACACTCCTTCCCAGGAGGATACGGCTGCGGGTAGTTTGGTGATAAAATAACACCTGCTGGGCCTGTGAGGTTTCCACCACATGCAGCTGTCACAGAACACAGAGGAGAGGAAAGCAAAATTGATCACAATGGTCACACTAAGCACTGGCAATTGTCAAAGTAAGTTGAGACCTTATACATTTAATTATTCCTTTCTAGCATCTTACTTTTTAGCTAATTGCTATTCAATAATCCAAGAGCAAGAAGAACTAAGCACATATAGGAATGTGTGTGTTTGCAACGTGTTTACGTACGCATGCATGTACTATGTGCATACAGTATATCACTATCCAATATTACCCTTCCCTTCCCCCAGATATGTACACCATGTGCAAGTCGAAACAGCATAACAGGGACAAACATTCTAGCCTAGTCCACTATTGGACTAGGTTTCGCAAGGTACACACTGTTAGAAGTGTTTTTGTGTTGGTGTTTTTAAGAAGTTAAATGCTCTCTGCATGTATGAAGCAGCTACCACCTTATTCTGATACAAGAGGGGTACCAACCCACAAACCATAGGCTGGCTATAGCCCACCGGAAGTGGCCCGCAGGAAGTGGCCCGCCAAACCACAGGAAGTGGCCTGCCAGCCCCCACAGCTTTATCCCCCGTTCTCAGTACTGTGGTTCTCAGGACTTCAATTGAGAGATAAAGCCCTCTGCTTGTTCAGTAGAGATCACTACCTAAAGGTCAGCCAGAGGGCTTCATTTCCCAATCCTAGTGCTGACCACCACCCTGCTAAAATTAGGAGATAATGAGCTATGCCTGCTATTTAGAGATAAAGAGTAAAAGGCAGCATCCTCAACACTGGGGAGGATTGCAAACACTGCCTTTCTCTCTCCACAGCTACAGAGGAACTGTGCGTAGGACTGCTGCCAAAATCTGCCATTCTAATACTGTAGAGATGAAACACAACAAAGCAAATAACAACAAAGCATTAATAAATCAGCTGCAAAATAATAGGAGAAAGATAAGGTAACACAGAAGCAGCAACATAGTCATTTCACATCCAGGTTCCTAAAACCTGATGGAAGAGAAAAGGAACATCTGTAAAATATGTCACGTATCAGGAGCAGGGGTTGGGGTAGCAAAGACGTATGAAATTTTGCTTATTAAAGTAGGTCAAAGTATGACAAACTGTTAAGGCCTTTGAAGTGTGACAAGTACAGATAAATAGCAAAGGTATTCGAGATTTATTTAAAATTGCATCCTGGTCTAACCAGGAATTCTTCTCTGGGAAGTGAATTCCATAATTTGGGTTCCAGGAACGAAAACGTTATATTTTGGGTAAGTGCAAAACAACCCCAAACCATAGTCACACAATCCTATGGAAGGAAGGCCTCTTGAGAAGGTATTAATAATGTATCTGGCTATTCCTCTAACAAATTCCTTCAGCAGTGCAGAGCTTCTGCATAAAGAAACATTCAAAATTGAGGATTTGTCTATATTCTCGTCTGTCTTTCTTTAGACAAAAGAAAGCCAATAAAATCACTTTACTTGATTAAAAAAATATGTCTCCCAATCCAAGTGTCCAGGCAGACACTAACAGGTAAAAAACAATTCTGTGCTGGCAGGTAGGCAACTAAATCTGCAATCATGCACTTAAAATTAGGGGTCTTGTTAACAGTGGTACTGAACACCTATAATTCTCATTGTAGTAACAATAGTAATCAGCCCAGGCGGCTATTTTGTTTAAAAATAGATCACACTAACAAAATAGCTCTTTTGTAAGTTATTACTCTAGTGAAGACTCAAAATTTTTCCACATCTTCTGATGACTCAGCCTGAGGTAAAATACAGAGCTGCTCTCAGAGAAGTTATAAAATGTGAACGCAGCAAAAAAGTGGGGAAAAAATTAAACAAACATGAATGTCTGTTTGACAACAGTCAGAATGCTAAAAAGAAGAGCTATTAAATCTCAGCTACCCTAGTATACAAGAGTAATACTTTGTGAGTATTTTAAATGCTCTATTTTATTCTGCCTTTATAGAACCTCTGAGGCTTGAAGTACTGCTATGTTTAGTATAATGAACATTTTAAACTACATAATCCTCAAGGTCATCCTTCTTAGTAAAATACACTTATGGTACTTTGCCATAATGACTCTCCTAAATGAACTATTTGCATCAAAAACAAACAACAAACAAAGGAAAACCAAACAGGCTAATCAGTCGGCTTTACATCCCTTGTCTAAAGGTCGAACTAGAGACCACATTGCTTCCATTGGCTCCAATGGCTTTTCCCCTTGAAATGCAAATAGCAGCTTCAGAGAGTAATGACAGAAAGAGAAAGAATATATTCTGTCTCCAGGCCCACAGTCCTGTGGCTTTCCTTTGGCTGCTATTTAAGTAACAGTATTGTGAGTGTTAATTACGTTCGCACCACTGACTTCACATCTATTTGGCTCTAAGTATTACTTCTTCCTGATACACTAGCAAGTCTGGCCTTTCCTCTTCATTTCTACAACGGAAAATTTAGTTCGCACTCAAGTAGAAGGGGGCTGCTATGTTAGCATTTCAGTGGCCATGGGGGGAGGCTGCTGCTTGGAGGGACAAAGGAACAGAGAGGTCAGCATGGTGTAAACAAACCAGCAGGACTGCTGGATTGGCTCCGCTAGTGCTTTTGCACCGCGTTGACCTCCCTGATTCCAGGTTCCTCCCTTTCCCAGTAAGGAGGTACAGTGACTCCACCCCACCTGACAAGCCACTTCTGTGATTAAGGCAAACCAAATTGCTGCTCCTAGGGGTCATAAAGTGAATTTCCAACAGTTCGCCATGACAAAGCTCCAGCCTTTTCCAAACTACCCAGCAAAACTGTGAAACTCCTCCTTCAAGTATGTTTCTCCCAGAAAATGGTCCAAGGTTGAACTCATCCTATTCAGGATGCATAGAAGGGGTAGATGATTTGGAATACCATGCAAAGGCAGAACATTACTGTTGTTTTTTTCCAGCTAGTTATCTGTTTGGGCAGTACCACATGGCACATGCGCTAATGTTATAGCGCATGGGAACAATTACATTACAAACAGTGGTGAAAGTTTATCTCGATCTAGGCCACAGAAGATTAACAATTGGGCCCAAGTGTTTAAGGACACAAAAAGTAATCTATTTTCAGTCTAAGCCACCACAACCACGTCTGCTGCATTAAGTGTTACACCACCCTGAATGACCCAGTTTGAATATCAGAATGCAGTGGTATCTTAGATTAAAACCTTAAAGAGAACCTAACATTCCATCTCAATACCTATACATGTGGGTGCATCAGGTTGCCAAAAGAACCGATTATTCAGCTGCACACAAGTAATTTTATCCTGCCCTTGGAGCTGATACCCTGGGTCGCACTGGAAGGTGATGGCATCCCCAGGTTCTCTGCTGTCTCCATATCTGCTGCCGTTCTGAGGCGTTCCAGGATCGTTACAGGTTGATGCAACTGATGCTGCAAATAAAAATAAGGAAACCAAAGTTTCAGATACATATTATGAATATTTCAAAGCCTTGCATTTCACTACATGTTTTGTAACAGAAACATTTCTTTGTTATTTGTGTGTTATGTCAGGAAAGTTGTGTAGATGACTGCTTCTGTAGGAAATTGCCCACTGTGATGGATCATGTTCCAATTTCCTTCCAATTTCCTCCGGGAAGGGTAATGATGGCAGGTTAGAAAATAACATTAGGGTTTACATTTTCTGTACAACTAACCTACCAAAATCATTCTTATTCCCTTTAATACTTCAGCTGTCAGTCATCTAAACTTCACCACCATTTTCGGAATAGAACAAACAGAATAATACACCTAATGTCTTTTTGGTTTTATGAATGTATTAAAGAAGAAAACATACCCAAAGTAAAAAATAAAACCAAATGACATTTCAGAATTCATTCATTCATTTATTAATCACATGGAAATTAAATCATTTTGCTGGCAATATTGCATACCATGACTTCAATTTAAGTCAAAATCTGATTTTAATACTTGCATCCAAATTTCCCAATAATAAGAATGGTTATAAGTACAGTTACCCAAACATGCTTACTAGCTCTCTTCAGATCTTCCTGGTCAATGTGGAAGGTCTGGGGGTGGGTGGGTGGAAGTCTGAAGAGAGAATCAGGAGCCAACAAAAGTCACTAAGTCACAGTGATATTTCTCTTGTATATCAAAAGCCTTCTGAGGATAAAATGAGCTTTCGTGTCTGTAGAAAGCAAAACCTGTATCCAAATCACAGCTGAGTATTTTACCTGCTAGATATGTTTATTTCCCCCCTCCTTTCTAAACTGACTATTTTCAAATCAGACAGAAAGTTGTTAATGCATATTATTATTATTAATACTAATAAAAGAAATAATGTAGCAACAATATTCAAGGATAGTTAAAGAAAAGTTCTCTACCACAAGCTTCATAAACTATCATGTAACTAGTCACCAGAAATGAGTGATTCAAATGAACATGTCAGCCGAGAGCAGATCCCCTCTCCCTTTGAAGTACCAAGAATTATTACTCTTGGGCTGAACTGAAAAATGAGGATGGTGGCATCCCTAACTACTGCTTCTCTCAAGGCTCAGTCACTGTACCTCTTTACAAGATGGTGACCATCCCTGTCAGATGCCTGGGGAAATGGGTCAAAATTTCCCCAGCTGGCTAAAATCGTGGTGATACTGCAGAGAAGAACTGGGCTATGAATAAAAAGGTAGCAGGAAGACTAGAACAGGGACTCTTTAATATCATATTCCCAGCAATCCAAATAATGGAAATGTAAGTGGTTTGGAGTTCAATTGCCAAATGAGCACAGACAATCCTTTATTTCCCCAGCAGGGCTTAGAACTGCTGCAAACATTATGTCACCATAGGGAGAGGCATTCCTTCACTGAATTCATGTGGCCCTGCTCATCTATTTGAATTCACCGCATAAGTCAGAGAAATAGCATCACTAAGTCTTCTTGCCACAGCAAGTCACTGTCATTGGCATGGATTGCGCAAAAATAAATTCACAACAAGATGGTTCTGATACTCATACTTTGTCTTGGTCTTGGTCTGTTGGTGCAGACTCCTCCAGCCAGCACCACATGGAGTTCTCCTGAATTCCTCATTCTTGTTCTCATAACACATTGCCCCCCCCAAAAAAAACCCCTCTGTACCACATCATGCCCACATTGCCCTGGTAAACTCTCCTCAGTTATTTGTAGGGTCTTTTATCTTGTATATGGCTTAATGGCAGTGCCATCACTTCCCTATGCCCTTTTGTCTAGTGGAAAATAAGCTCAGACTGTCAGCTATGATTAAACCCCAGCACTCAAGAATCTAGAGGGGGAAATTGGCACCCACAGATCTTGGGGGGGAGGGTTCCTCTTCCCCCACTAACTCATAAGAATATCCTTATATGTAATGAGTGCTTTCTTACTTCCCTGTTCAGATTGTATGGTATTAAGTACCTACTGTAGGCATTTCACAGTTCATTACAAACTCACCAACATATTCCTCTATGATTGCCATTATCCTATAGTGATGGCATATACGGTATCTGAATGCACACGAAAGCTTATACCCAGAACAAACTTAGTTGGTCTCTAAGGTGCTACTGGACAATTTTTTTATTTATTTCGACTGTGTCAGACCAATATGACTACCTACCTGAATCTATTATCTATTAGGGCAGTTGCCGTGTTCAGTCATCAGAGTGAGAGTTAACGCTAAACTTTCAGGTGTTAACACAACAAAAGTGGCAGAGCACCTCCTTTGCATACAAAAAAGCCCAGGTCAAATCCGGGGCATCTCTGGGTACGCTTGGGGAAACCCCATGTCTGAAACCATAGTGAGCAACAGATTACATGTAATTTGTACTTTAGTTCACAGAGACCTTGGAAAGGGAGGCTTTCCCTTCCATCCTGCCACAACTGAAATGCTAATACAAATGAGGCTACTCAAGAGGGAATACTAATATTACTTTCATTCAAAACAAATGCCATTCACAGAAAAAATCATTTTGAAAATATCTCACAGCGGCCTGGCAAGAGCACACAGCATAGCCTGCCACAGTCATGATCCACGTCCCTACATCTCGTCAGGCAGTCAGTGGGAATCCAACAAGGCAGACGCAGAGACAGATGCTGCTGCTGAAACAGTCTTTTTGCCAGACTATGTCCTGTGGCTCTTGAAACTGACAAATGTGCTCAATGTGCAGCCAGTGATGCTTAAGATCATCCTAGAGGAGCGAGGAGAGGCAGCGACATACTCAGCGACAGCAGTGGCTGGCTCCCAAATTGCTAATCCAATCAAAAGAATTTGTTAATTTGCTTTGTTTACCCTTTTCGCTCAGCTTCCATGTCCCTTAATGAATGTCTTTAAGTAGGAACATGGCTCTCTTTCTGACCAGTTGGTTAGCTGATATGATCATTATCATCTGAAGCCCCATTCCCCCAGGTGGGCTGCACACTTCTGCCTACTCTTCTTATCAAGCTTCACATTATAGTGCCTGGTGATAATGTTGCCATTATAAGATCTGGGCCATTACAGACTCTTGAGCAGGTGTAGCACTTTTCTTCTGATGGCTGTTAAGTGATGTGTGGTTATGGGCCATCCCAATCTCTGCCGAGCGGTGCAGGATTCCAGGGGTCTTGGCACTTAACCAGGGTTCGTGTTTGGAATGAGACATAGTGGAGACCGTAGTGTCTTTAAGATATATAGTTTTATTTACACATGTGCACACCCAAGCCATTATGGAAGAAGTGCAGAATCTTACACGCTATGAGTGTCTGCTGCTGCTTCTCCCATAGCTTCAGCAAGATTGAGTCCAGAGTCGTAACCAGCCATGTCCCTGGTCTTCCACATGCAATCCTGCCCCCACTTCCTTCATGCTCTTTCCAAAAAGCTCCTGCAAAATTCCTGTGGTGACATCACACCCCCTGTAACCCTGGCAACCTCCCCCTCCCTACTATTTTGTCCCTGACCACTACTCAGGGCCAGAGGAAGGACAGCATTTGTAGTGTCAATTGCTCTAAATGACCTGGTCTTGTCTGTATTTTTACACTGTTAATTTCAATGTCTGTTACCTTCCTTCTCTAAACACTGATTTAAAACCCAACACCCAGGAATCTAGGGGGAGGCAGGGCACCCAGAAACCTGCAGAAAGCAGGGAATCTACAAATCCATAACAGTATTTTGGCATAAAGGTGCTAACCAAAGATACAGTAAGTAAGCCATTGGCCTCTTGATCTTAGGTAAAAGGTAAAGGTAAAGGTACCCCTGCCGGTACGGGCCAGTCTTGACAGACTCTAGGGTTGTGCGCTCATCTCACTCTAGAGGCCGGGAGCCAGCGCTGTCCGAAGACACTTCCGGGTCACGTGGCCAGCGTGACGAAGGTGCTCTGGCGAGCCAGCACAGCACACGGAAACGCCGTTTACCTTCCCGATAGTAAGCGGTCCCTATTTATCTACTTGCACCCGGGGGTGCTTTCGAACTGCTAGGTTGGCAGGCGCTGGGACTGAGCAACGGGAGTGCACCCCGCTGCGGGGATTCGAACCGCCGACCATGTGATCGGCAAGTCCTAGTCGCTGAGGTTTTACCCACAGCGCCACCCGCGTCCCATCTTGATCTTAGGTAGAAAATATTTATTTGTTGTGTTTATTTTTATCAGACACAGATACAACTGAAAACATAAAAAACAGAGAACGAAAATCAGAGAGCAGACTGGGTGGGTTCATAATGTAGTTATTGTGTCTCTACATGAGTGGGAATCACCTGCTATCCTTCTTCTAGAATCCCACCCTGGATTCATGGACACACAGCAACTCTTGGTCAGTAGTCCCTACCTTTTTTAGGTACGGTACTGGAGAAAGCCATGGCACAGCAGTTGCAGGCATTCCTGGAGAGTACTGATTATCTAGACTGGTAGGAACTAGCCAGGCATATAAATTAAGAGCAACCCAGTGTGGGGAGCTACAGAGAGCACCAGCGGACAAGGTGAGTTAAGCAGATGTGCAAGTTCAGCAGCAGGACAAGGAGGTCAGGGCATACCACTCTGCCCCTCGTTTCCATGATCTAAAGAAAACCTCAAACCCCCAATTAAGTAAATTAAACTACAGCATTTACTGACATGTTCTGCATTTTGTATATTTGCATTTCCAGCGCCCTGTATTTCGGTGTTTTGAATGTTTGCTGTAAGCTGCTTTGGGCCCAGCTCATTGTGGAAAAGCAGCATACTGTATATAAGTAAACTCAATCAATCCAAAACAATGGTGCAGGTAGAATTCCAGTAGGGATGTGGAGACTCCCCTGCGTTTCACACTCTCTGTCACGTGTACAGCTATCTACCTGTTGAACAGATGCCGTGGGCATTTCTGATGTGCAATAAGCTCCAGGTTCTCTGGGAACAAGTATTTTCCCCTATTAGGTCAAGATGGCAGACTTGGAAAAGCTAATAGGAATAGGGAGGTTGATGATTG